ACATGGCTGATATGTGGCTGCCAGGAGAGGTCATTGTCGATTACAACACCCAGGTATTTCGCGGATGTTGTTGATTCCAGGGATTGTCCTCGACAACGTACATGCTCTTGAACATCAGCACCGCCTCTTGGCTTTACAAACAGAACTTGGGTTTTCTGGGCATTCAGAAGTAGGCCGATGTCATCTAGCCACTTGGCGAGGTTGGTCACTGCAGACGACAGAGACTCGCAGACTTGCTTGGGACACGCGTTGGAGCAATCGAGAGCGATGTCATCAGCGAATTCCTGATCTGCCACATCCGGAGGCATCGTTGACTTGACGTCAGCAGTGTAAATTACAAACAGGAGTGGACCTAAGACACTGCCCTGCGGAACACCGCGAGAGCAAGGAACAGTCCCTGACAACTGATCCTGCAATTTGATCTGCTGTGTCCGGCCAGACAGGTAACTGCAGAACCAGTTGAGTGCAGTTCCCGAGATGCCTAGCTTAAACAGTTCGGTAACGAGCCGCTCATGCCTGACGCGGTCAAAGGCCTTTGACATGTCGACAAACACGATGCCGGTATACTTGCGCTCTGCCCGTGCCATTTGCCATCGATCAACAGCATACGTTAAGGCATCTTCTGTGGAGTGAAGCTTTCGGTAGGCGAACTGAGTAGGCGGAAGAAGTTGCTCGGAGTCCAAGTACTGCGTGATCTGATTTTTTACAAATGCTTCTGTGATGCGGGAGATAACTGGGAGCAGTGACACAGGGCGGTAGTGCTTTGGCAAAGTTGGGTCTCCACTCTTGAAGAGCGGACTGACGTGGGACAACTTGAAGGACAGGGGGAACTCACCGGAGGACAGGGATATATTAATGATGCGTGTAAGTGTGGGGGCAATGGTTGGATAACACTTTTGCAGGATGATGCTTGGAACTTGGTCACTGCCTGTTGCCTTGAAAGGGTTGACAGATTTCAAACTGCTTGCCACATCCTCGACTGTCACTACACTGAAGTCGGTAAATGCCCCTTCCGCCATTGGACCAGAGGGAGAACAGAGTTGAGGAGGACGCTGGGGATCATGGACAACGTCACCAAACAGCTTGCTAAGATCCGATATGGGTACTTGAGCAGTGTGCAATTGTTTCTTCCGGCCAACCACAGTATTGATGACTGACCAAAGCTTACGTTGGTCAGAAGTCTGGCACTGCTGGATGAAATACGTGTTCTTCAGGCTCCTGTCCAGCTTCCTGGCCTTGGCACGAGCAGTGCGGTGTTGACTGCGGAGATCATCATTGCAGCGGTTCTTCATGAGCAGTCGATGGAGTCTGTCTCGCTCCCGTACGCAGGCCACAAGTTCATCTGTTACCCACGGGCAGGGACGTCTATCCCGATTTCGCCTCATCCGCACGGGTGCATGCTTATCCAATGTTGACACTATGGAGGCGATGAAAGATGATGCAAGGTGTTGACATCATCAATGGCGAGCAGAGAGGCCTGCTCTGCACTGAGATCGCTGTTGAAGGTGTCCCAGTTTATCTTATGGATGCGGCGTGTAGGTCTGTAGCTGGAAGTACGGCCTGGTGCAAACCCTGCCACAGAGAGATTCCCAAGTACTGCAAAGTGGTCACTAATGTCTAGGTAGGCTATCTCACAAGGTCCCGTCAGCGGGGAAGTTGATAGGAAGAGATCAATGATTGACTCAGTAAGGGCGGTGGCACGTGTTGGTGAAGACACATAATTTGTCATACCAAATTTGTTAAACAAGTCAGTTACTCGTATGGCCATGGGTGACTGGTTCATTTTCATATCAACGTTGAAATCACCCAGCATGACAGTTGCCAGAACCTTCTTTCCTGGTGCATGAACTGATGCGTCTAGGCTGGACTCCAGGGAGGTCCAGAATGCTACAGGTTTGTCTGGTGGACGATAACAGCATCCAACCAGCACTATGCCACCGGAAACGCTAACTTCTATCCACAGCAGCTCTAAGTCAGTCTCCAAGTCAGTGCGTCTTCGCGCAAGAACAGATTCATGGCAGTATATCCCAACACCACCACCACGTTGCTGCAATCTATCCTTCCGATGTAGCTTGAAATGTGGGATAGTAAGTTCACTGTCCAAGATATCTGGAGTGAGCCAAGTCTCAGCCATACCAAAGACATGAATGCCTCTGTTTGACAAGAACGTTTGCACTTCGGCTGTCTTGCGCCTGATACTACATACATTCAAGAAGGCAGTGTGCAGCATGGTCATCAGCAGGCATGGTTGATTTCAGAGCCATCACTGACTGAGGGCGCGTGCACATTTGTTTCCACTTCCGAAAGGGATGCCGAGTTTGCTTGCGTGTCGTCACATGCTGTGGTTTCTGTGGTATCATCACTGACATCAGAGGCAGAGTACTTGTCGAAATTCCACTGTCTGGAATAGAGTGGTCTGGGTACAGGCAGGTTGATGGGGTAGCCATGGGCTCTCCATTGGGTCCAGTTTTAGCGAATGTGTTCGTTGGTTACTGCGAGTCACTGATTGCAGAACAGTTGTGGCCAGCATTGTACGTTCGTTTTGTTGATGATTCCTTCACCTGGTTTGATTCTCTTGAAGATAGCCAAATCTTTCTTGGTATTCTAAATGACCTACATCCTTCCATACGTTTTACGTGTGAACACGAACAAGCGAACAAACTTCCCTTTCTAGACGTCCTTGTGGAAAAGTCTAGTCAGGGTACCGTAACATCTGTATACAGAAAGCCTACATTCACCGGCCAGCACATAATGTTTGAATCGTATTGTTCCAACCAATACAAGGTGAATTTGGTTCGTAACTTGGTGGATCGAGAAGAGCGTATTTGCTCCTCTTCCAAACTAGCTGAGGAACTGGACTTCCTTAAGTCCGTTTTTCTAAAGAACGGGTACCCCGACGATCTATTGAAGGAACTCATGAGCGAAAGGCTGCATAAAAAGGAAAAACGTTTTGGCCCGGACAAATGTCCCACGTTTCTTTCTCTCCCTTGGAAAGGTAACCTCTCATTATCCATGAGTCGCGTGGTACGGAAAATTGTGCAGCAAACTTACAACGCGGTACATTTTGTACCCGTTTTCACAACTGTACGTGCGTTCACGGTGAGGAAGGATGTCCTACCAACCCAACTTGCATCTAAATTGGTATACCAATTTGAGTGCCGACAATGCGGTAGTCGGTACGTTGGTAGGACTCTTCAACATCTGAACGCACGTATCAAGCAGCACGTCCCACTACATATGCTGACTGGCTCGGCACGGGCACTGCGACCCAAACGCGGCAGGCCACTGAAGAACCCTCGGCCACAGCCATCGTTAGCACAATTTCCGTCATCGGCAATAGTGCCTCCATTACCCGTATCGAGAGCCTTGGAGTCGGGTAATGGGCATAATGTCATCACAACACAATGCACCATAACAACACAAGATAACACACCACAACAACATTCAGCTCAAGACCAAAGTGGACGCTGTGATGAAGTAATGCCCTCATCGCCGTCTTTGCCGTTGCCTCCCCCAGAACCGCCACCTACATCTATCATCGGCAGTGCTGGGGCTGAGTCTGTGGTGTCGGTGGCACGTGCATATATGGATGAGGCAAGCACTGAACGTGAACAACGATAAAGAAGGCTGAAGGGAACGGAATTCAACAAAGAAAGTAACACAATCAACATTCAAAGACCTAGACGATCAACGGCTAATTATTCAATGAATTATTACAGTACTGGAGGTCAAGCACCGGCGAGGACACTGGGAACACAAGATTTAACAACAACAACAACAACAACAACAACAACAACAACAACAACAACAACAACAACAACAACAACAACAACAACAACAACAACAACAACAACAACAACAACAACAACAACAACAACAACAACAACAACAACAACAACAACAACAACAACAACAACAACAACAACAACAACAACAACAACAACAACAACAACAACAACAACAACAACAACAACAACAACAACAACAACAACAACAACAACAACAACAACAACAACAACAACAACAACAACCACAACAACAATGGTAACAATTTACCATCAAGATCAAAGGAGGAGTCAACGAACAGAGGTTAAACAACATGAAGCGAGCCTGGGACCGATCGGTGTTGATGAGGAGAATGACACGGAGGACGACACTGAGGACGAGTTGGGAGATGAGACGGAGGACGAGGTTGCGGTTGTTGGAGACGAGGATTCAGATGGTGATTGTGATCGTAAGAAGTCTGCCGTTTTTCTTCACTTGTTGTCTCACCCTAAGTGCCTGCAGGTGTATGATGATTTTAGTTTTTCTGTTCTTTGTCGTGCACGGTATGCTAGTCAGTTGAAAGTACTTGAGGCTGTTTGTATTCGTTTGCATAAGCCTGATCTTTGTAAGCAGAAGAAACATGTAGTTGCGTTAAAATTGTTTTCGTAGGTGCACAGCATGATTGTTTGTCTCACTACACAGTTTTAGCGTTATAATTAGTTTCTCACCCGCCGTTGCACTTAGCTCTCACTTCACTTCTATTGTCTCACCTTCCCTCATTCTATTTTGGCACTGTATTTTGTTCTCGTAACACATCATTGAATGTATATTTAATCATTGTTCAGCATGGTTACTCTTCAGTCACGACTTTCCACTGATGAATGTGACAAGAAAATTAATTCTGGTAAACTTTCATGACTTCGTTGTAGTGTGGCGATGACCGCAGAATTTGTTCTCTTTATTGCTATTATAAAATAAGTACACAGCGCTTATATATTTAGACTGGGTATCTGCATCCTGCACTTCGTGCTAGAAGTCTGCCAAGAGCAAATTTACGAAAGAAAATCAAATGTTGAAAATGAGGTAAACAAAATGGAGTGGAGTGTTTACCGCCGTGGCCGGGCCCGAAAACTTGGTGAAATGTAAAGTGAAGTAGTGAAGAGACTGTGGCCTGTGTGTGAGGCTGTGTGTTGAAATTGAATGAGTATGTCACAGGGGTATCGGAAGGTATTTTAGCGTGGTACGGTCAGTCATCTGAACTATACAATTTACTCGTGAGGGAAGTGTGGCTTAGCCGAGAATTTTGGAAATTCAGAGCCCAAATCAGTGCATTTTCTATTGATTCACTTGGTACTTGGTGCAAACAGTGGTACAGTCAATACCGTAGTGACCGTACCGTGTGCAATGCCCCAGTGTCATATTAGAGCTTGTGATAACTGAGTTCCCCTATAACGATAGTCAAGCACAGACACCTCCCTTCGCCTGTGCTTCAGAAGTGACATACCTTCTTCTGCTGTGGGCGCTTCACTATCGGAGCTTGGTGCCGCATCTGTGGCAAGAGAAAAGGACCAGTGAAACACAATGTGCTTGCAGCACCGCATGCAAACAAGAGCACGGTATATCGTCATCCATTTTATCTCCGCGCAGCCCGGGAATCGGCAATGGTAGATAGTTCCCCAGGCAGCTTGGGTTGCGACACAAAAGGGATTTCAGCAAGAGTGGAAGTGTGTTGCATATACATTTAGACTAGGTATGTGCAGTCTGCACTTCGCGCTCGAATTCTACACTGAGAAAAGGTACGTAAGACAAACTAGTGTGGAAAATGGAGCAAGACGTCTTTCTCGAGTGGATTCTGCTTTTCCTGCACCCCCTTTACCCCAATGCTGGGCCAGGTCATGCCCGAAAATTGGGTAGAATGCAAAATGACTCTCAGTGAAGAGCCTTTGTTTGGTGCTGCAGAAATCTTATCACAGTAGGGGTGAGCTACCCCTGCAACGAAGCACTGACACCTTTCTTTGCCTGTATTTTCACCAATCACATACCTTCTTCCACTTCAAGGGACGGTTGTGGCAAATCTCCACTATCGGCGCTCCGTGCCTTAGCTGCAGTGCGAGAACAGAAACCAGCGGAACACAAAGTGCTTGAATAAGGAGCATGGTGGTCGTCATTCATTTTATCTGCATGCAGCCCAGCAAGAATAGGCACTGGCAGATAGCTCCCCCGGCAATTTGGGTAGCTGCACAAGGGGTTTATTTCACCAGGAGTGCGGCAGGTTTTCTCAGCTTGAGGTGTTAGGAGAAGTGTGGTACGATCCACCAGGCCCTTCTTATTCAACTGAGGCCAGTGTTATAAGGTACATCATTCAGTTTCCCATCACAGGTCCCCCCGTCACAGGTCCCACCACCCATCACAGGTCGCCCCCCCCCCCCCGTCACAGGTCCCCATCACAGGACCCCATCTGAGCCATAAGCCATTCTTGTCATCAGGAAAAGTACTACAAGATTATGCTTTGGATCGTATGGATTGCACTGCTGAGGCTGGCGCAGCTTTCAGAACTGACCAAAGGCGGCGAAAAGATCAACCTCACATGCATGCATGCACCAGCATGCCCTTGTGAATTGCCAGTACTCCCTGCTGCCTCTCCACATTCCTGCCATTCTATATAATTATGTGTCATCACTGCCTTGCTGCTTTGTGCCCTCAAATAATGTGTGTGTGTGTGTTTTTGTAAAAAAAAGTTCATAAATAAATCTTACAGCTCACGCAAACCACTGGCTTGTTCAAGTTGCATTCGTATTTCACCGCGGTATTGGTGGATACCTTGAGGTAGTGACAGAACCTCTTTCCCGACTCAAGGGTTGTATCGTTGGTGAACAGTTCCACGCCGCTCACATCATTATCGCGCAGGATTTTGGATTCGGTCAGGAGTTTGGCTGCGCATGCTCTCTCGCCACCCGATGAGAGAATAGGTCGGCCACCGTGCAGTTTACAGGCCTCTAGAGCATGCTCGAAACCAAAGGCAATCGTGTGGTAGAGGTAGATGCCGGTCTGTCCATTGGCGACACAATTGGAGGTGACGGGGCTCTCTCCTGATGCATAAAGGTAAACATCGAAGCATTCTAAGATACCATGCACGGAAAACACCAGCCAAAGGATGGCCAGATCATCTTATTGATTTTTCTCAATTTTAGGTTCTTAGGTTCCCTGTGGTATTTACACTTGGAATGTTAAAGGATGGATCAAAAATGGGTGGATTAAAAATGTGTGAATTAAAAATGGGTGGTTTAAAAATGGGTGGATTAAAAACGGATGGATTAAGAACGGATGGATTAAAAACGGATGGATTAAAAATGGGTGGATTAAAAGGGTGGATTAAGGTTTGTCTGTGTCCTAAACAATGGTATTATCACAATGCTTAGTAGTATAATATTCAGCTCCCAGGTGCTTTCACCAATAGTATCCACACTTCAGCACATGCACTAATAATTGGGAGGTGAGCTTGTGTCCTGACACAAGCCCATGCACTTGGATGGGCGGAAATACGGTAACTAGTAATCAAATCTGTGAGCAAGTCGAAGAAGTTAAGTTGCTAGGAATGGAACAGCAAAAAGTCCAGGACTGTCTAGACCAGCTGAACGTGTGAAACAAGCATTCACGACCCTGACTCCTGACCTAGATCTTACCTTTCTTGCGGGCGCATACTATAGGGAAATGGGTTGGACCTTGCGCAAACCGTACTGGTCCTCCGTGCCGCCAGGTGAGGTCATCGATTTGGCAATGCACAGCAGACTTCCTATTGCCAGTCACTGTCGATTTTGCACAGCTCAACACGTTGTTTCTTTTAGAATACGGCTCAACGATATGGATAGGAAGAAAGTTATCAACCTTCAAGTTGTTGCCAACAGAGCGGAAGTGTGGTGCATCGACCAATCTTGTGGAGCCGATGTTAACATATCTCTTGCTCGGGTAGGAATATGTCTGTTTGGTGATTTGTTTGTGGCACGCCTGAGCCTGTTCATGGCTGATAAGGTGACCACCTATTGTTTGACAATGTTTCTCCGTACTTATCCAGTCCGAGATCGTTTGGTTGGTATAAATTTGTGTTTTTCCATCATCACAATCATTCCAAGTCGCCGCTGTAATGTCAAAAGAAGGGAAAAAGCACAACATTTTCTTTCATAGAAAAGAAAAAGGACCAAGGAGCTACCACTTACGCTATAATGCCCACTAACTCCACTTGGTCCTTTTTCTATAAATATATCCTTGGCTCTTCATCCGAGTCCAAAACTTTCTTTCATTTTTAAATTGCGGAGAAGACAGAAAGGGTACGAGTTATGAAGCAACTGCCCACCACTATAGCAAGACAATAAGCAATCAGAAAGTGCTATAACTGGTAGGCACCGGCGGATTATGCCGGCATAATTATTGGCATAATTTGGTGGTTGAAAATTTGGAGCATAATTTGGCATACTTTCGGAGGTAGAAGCATAGCTACATGATTGTAATACCGTTCTAGTACGTAGGCTACACACTTGTGTACAATGCACCTGATCAGTGCTGGAAGTCTGCATGGTAAAGGGTCCGAGGTCATGCAGATAGTGTTTTCAATGAAAAGCAGGGTAGAAATCATGGCCGAATGAATACATTATTGTATGCTCGAACTCGTCTTCTTCAAAGTTCTTTCTCACGTTGATACAGTACATGTAGCAGAAGATGCGAGTGAATCAGCCTCATCAGGAATCCTGGGGCGGACGAGATAGTGACGGGTAGTCCGCAAAACTCCGCGTACATGTACAGTCATGTACATTATGAATGTCACGAAGTCATGATCTCTGGATTTAAGCAGCCATGACTGTGCACTGCAGGCTATAGATGATTGCTCTAATAATTATTAAAAAACTTGAAGAGGTATTGTTGATGTTGGGTCATGATGGAAGGAGAGGTGAAGCTACAGGAGAGATGAGCTAGATTATTCGCAGGGTGAGGGTGACATCGGTTGGACGGGTATAGCGATCACGAAGACAGTTTAAACAGTCGACGAGGAGACAATAGTCGTAAAATGGCAATAAATAAGATAAATTGTGCACTCATAACAACAGCAAAAATGAAGAAAGTCAAGTTCCATAACGTTTTCTTGTGACTGTCATCAGTGGAACGCCGTCACATAAAAATGTAATAACTAAAACGCACACTTATATACATGTAGCTAATATGGTTTCATTCATTCACACAGTATCACATTCATCTGCCACTACCTTTCTCACATACACTATATTCACACATTGCAAAGGTGCAAACTTCGCTTTTTGTACTTGTTAGCTGCTGTATTTCTACCTGAAACCATATTAGCTACATGTATATAAGTGTGCGTTTTAGTTATTACATTTTTATGTGACGGCGTTCCACTGATGACAGTCACAAGAAAACGTTATGGAACTTGACTTTCTTCATTTTTGCTGTTGTTATGAGTGCACAATTTATCTTATTTATTGCCATTTTACGAAGACAGTTGAACATGATATTTTTCAAAGGTAACTCAAGCTAATTTGACAATGAAAACATATTTTGAAAAGAAGTCAACTCTTGAATACTGAGAAGAAGTAATGTTTTCTCTTTTCCATGTCGATCTCTAGCATGCAGGGACACCTTGGTATGGGGATACTCATGACTGTAACATTTTGTTGTACTTGTGGCCACTTGCAAGCACCAAGAAAGCACAATTTTCCGAACTTGGAGGCTCCATAGGTACAACAAAGTGAATAATATGTATCCCCGCGTGCCAAAGCATAATACGAGGATTTTGCGAGCACAATGCGAGAATCCATGAAAGCATAATTCCATGATTTCGCGAGCATAATCCGCTGGAGCCTAAAAACTGGGCACAAACTCGACCGGCTACTTTTAAACTTTCCATCATTTTCACAACAATCGTTGCAATGGGGATAGCGAAAGTTGGTCATGGCTGAGAAAACGAGAAGATCTCATTCTTTGGAAGTTGATTGTACAGAATACCGTAAAGTCGCGGATAAAAGCCGGGCTTATAAGCATGTAAGCCGCTTTCTGCATCAGGCTTTAATGCAAACCAGACTTGTATGCAAACCATGGTTATATGCACCACACTTGCGTAGAAGCCAGGCTTCTACGCGCGACACGCGTAGATCTACCAATACGGGTATGGCGGCAGTTTTACTATGCACCGTACATAGCACAATGCACACTTGACCTACCCGATCCGCGTTTGCATAGAAGCCAGGCTTCTACGCGCGACAGGCTTATATGCATTTGACCCGTTTGATTTTCAGGCTTCTATCCGCGATGTGCTTGTATGCAAACCCGGCTTTTATCCTCGACTTTACTGTAGTTGATTGTACAGTGATAATTATATCAGCACAGTGACCTTCAACTGTCACCAAATTTTTTTGTCTTATCTTGTAGTTCTTTGGCTCCTGATCACGATGGTGTTATTCGTTTTTCTCTGCGATGACTGGAAGTGGGTGAAAACTTGAAAAGAAGGTGCCCAACATTGTCCCGAAGTGCCGAGTGACGTCACGCCGGATCTGACTTCCACGCGTACATTCGTCGTCAGGCACAATCTGCTGGTACTTTTGCTCACCTCACAAAGATTCACCTAGGGTTCCCTGTAACAAGGCCATGCCTGTTGGGACTCCCCTAGTCAAATAATAAATACTACTACTACTACTACTACTACTACTACTACTACTACTACTACTACTACTACTACTACTACTACTACTACTACTACTACTACTACTACTAAGTCCAGCCCGTGTGTGGTTCGATCGAGCTAGCTACATTCGCCGTACCGTAGCAGGGCTCTGCTTTCTGTACAAGCTGCACTTTGTGGAGGGTCCGGAAATGGTGAAAGCCATTCTGCCACCATCAGCAGCCGCACCGCAACACCGCATGCCTACTCGTGAGACAACCAGATCTGTAACACATCATCCATCGCAACTCACCAGTATCCTTCCTCCTCAGGCACGAAACAACACGCTCCGCTCATTTCCCCACTCCCTCATCGCAACGTGGAATCAGCTCCCACCTACCCTTCTGCAGTCTCCCCCTTCTCGCAGAGGCATGCACACGTTCAAGAAAAACGTCAACGACCACTTGCGGCGCAGCAAGTGGGAGTGGGCCACAGACAGGCTATGATCTTTGCCAACATACCAGCCTAATTATACTGACCGCACTCCAGCTCCCTTCTACCCCTCTTTGAACCCCTTCGCTCAGCCTTAAAATCCGATTATCAGTTCACTCAAGAGTCCATAACCCCCCCCCCCCCAGAGTGTGCAACTCCAGGTTGGGGTCTGGCGCAACGAAATCCAAACATTGCGTCATCCGGTCCCCGGGCAAGCATGGGCGGATGGGGCCATGTGCATATCTGGTACATCCGGCGGGGGTTCCAAGTAACTTACTTGAAGGTTGCTTTGAAGCAAGCCACGGAAGTGTCACGTAAAACGTTTGCTCAACGGGCTATGCAGTGTCAGCAGAACGGCTTTGATTTCACAGTCACAGAATTTTTTATTTGAAGAGAGTTTCTCTGCTCGTTGTCTGAAAAGCTTGTATTGGGAGAGTTCGTGACTCCGGGATAGCAAGAATAGGCATGGATATAGATTTACAAGATTTGATGGAAATAGCTCTTGGCACACGGCATGAAGACCCGATCGATTTCGAAGTAGATGTGCTTCAACCTGCTCCTCAGTCCCATTTTGGTACAATTTCCAACACTCGACAATCGAGAGAAGAAAATGAGGAGCCCAGATCGAGCAAAAACTGACGAATATCGTCCACAGAGACACTGCACTCCGGCGACAATGGGGAGCGCTTTGCTTTAGGTTCAACAGTGGCCATTGTTCTTCTCTTATCGGAGAGACACTCAAAAGATAAAACTGTTCGACAACTCTAAACTAATTCTTTGTGTACTTGAGCCTTTCCAGGCGTGTTACGTACAATAGAGAGGTTAAGATGCACGTTATTTCTGACGTGACGCGAAAGTTCAGCTCGCGTTATTTGCTCGCACGTCGAAAAATCAACGCGAGTGACCTGCTGCTCGCGTCGAAATTTGGAGTTTTACGCCAAATTTGACGTCAAATTGCGCGTCACGTCGGAAATAACGTGCATCTCAACCTCTCTAATACCTGGCCGTGGATTCGTAAAGAAAGACCCCAAATTGGGCAAACGGGCGAAGTAGGTCCGGGCCAAACTTCCCATTTCGTCATAGCTACTCACTACATGACGTATGAAGTTTGGATTTCGTTGCGGCACTGATTTGTGCTGAGAAGGATCACGAGTTGCACACTCTGGGGGGTTATGGACTCTTGGTTCACTCCATCTTCCTACGGTGCACTGCTTTTACTATTGTTTTGTCCTATCCCAATCTCAAATTCTCCCCATTATCGTTTGCAAAGCCGGTGCTCCCCTCTTGGATGCACATGTTTCTTTTCTCCTATGTATCGGCGCACAGGAGTAACGATGATTCCGAGACCTTTGGTCGGAGGAGTTACTTTTGCCCCGCCCCCACTTCCATCCAATATGCCACCGCCCCCGCTGTGCAGCATCTGATGGTACTGTGGTATTCAGTAAAAAAATAAAATAAAAATAAAAATAAAGCTGTTCCGATGTACGGTACACGTGTGCCTTCTGAACTGCAACATAGATGGGTACGCCGTACTGGCATGAAGGAGAATGCCAAACAGGCAGAGACCCACGTGCAGCTTAACCATTTTGTTAACAGCCAAATTAAAATATGAAGCAGCTGAGCTTTCACCTTTTTGACTTCTCCCGCGAGCATCTTAGTTTTATTTTGTGAGAACGGACGTACCGGTACGTCATTGTTTTGAACTTTTCGTATCAGGAACAACCGTGACGATGATGAGAGCGTGTGCAGAAAACAGTACTCCTCCAGCCGGCGATAACACCAACAACCCGAACCCCAAAGGAACGCGATGTAGCTACGGAAAGGCGATTCATCTGACGATGTTGCTGAAGTCGCAGATGGCTTAGGCAATTCACATACGACATGGCGCTTTACAGTATTTGGAGGGTACGAATTTCCCCGTGTGTCCATGAATTTACCATTTCGATCGCTGCTACCAACCCATGCTACGATGGGTTGGTTGAGTACCCCACCACCACATCCCGCGGAGTAGGCTCTGCTGTTAAGAATGCCAGCATATGCTGATTGGCACAGCGCCACGCCAACTTGGTGGCTGTAGTCCTGTAGACCTGTAGACCTGGTAGTCGGGAGTTCTTCAGAGGATTACACCAAGACAGTATTCGTATTTGACGAAATTTACATGAAAAAGAGTAATTATTTAGTCAGTGACAGGAAAAAAAACTCCTCATCATATTATTAGGCCCACAGGTAAATAGTTCATATTCATTAGTTCATGCATTATTCATTGGGCCTGGGTAGCTACTTGCGCGCCCATGTTTGCCATAGCTACCCAGGCCCTGTATATTGCGTTGACTCTCTTTTCAACTCTCTCTCGACTCTCACTCGAATGATTGAAGATCTGCCACTAAACTCGATTCGCTCCGTCGGCTGTTGTTTGAATTCAACAATATAATGGGCCAGGAGGCGAGGGGGTAGGCTGACAATCCTCGGTTCAAACAATAGATTTAACGTGTTTTTTTACTATCAACTTCAAGCAACCACATCGTCCACATGCATACACAAAGTTAACTGTTCCCCTACGGCAAGCACAGTCACACATCCACACTGTAACATACTAGCACACCATGACGCCTCTGGAAGTGAAATCAGTTGTTAAAACCAATACTCTCTGCTAGCTCGCAATTCTAATCGAATATTTTTTTAATTATTGAACTTGAAGTAGTGATTTTTGAAACAAATCAAAGCACTAAAGCAAAGTGCAGCAACCCTGGAAACAGCAATGGTGGAAGGTATACCTTTTTCAGATGGCCAAAGACCGGCATCACTCACATCTTTAGTGGATTCTAAATGTACAAGGGAGAAAGCATGCATGCACTCACAGTGGATGTACGCATTCCTGGCATAGCAAGAGTGACAAATACCGGTCACGGTAAACACATTTCGACTGTCACACGGAGGCTGGAAATCAACTCACGAACCAACTTACATTCACAATGGGGCACTGGGCTTAACGAGCCATCTGCCTGACAGATAGCTCGATTCCCGCTTGGCGGTACTGTAAAAGTATTGCATGTGTATACCACTGCCTCACCATACATGACGTAATGTCTGCTGGTGGTGCCGTTAGCAATTGCCGGCACAGTGCAATTGATTACTAGACAAGCAAACACATCGACACGCAAGCATTATAAAAACAGTTGTGCTAATAACACACGCGCACACACACACACACACACACACACACACACACTACCACTACTACTATTAACAGCATGACTGTCCACATAGGCAAGTGTCCCCCTATGAAAAGGGAACCAGAAAACGGAAGTTGGATTCCAACAAGGACTGCGAATGTCTGGATAGGTCTTGCTGCCAGCTGAAACGGCATTTAGTTGTTAACGCTGTGGGCAGCTGACGGGCATGCGCCCACTGCATGCGACACGAATCGAAACTGCTTCTTCCACTTTCGATGTGGTGTGAACCTTGTTTTTCGCGATGCTTGAACGTTGCCATTCATAAAGCCGGAAAATGTGGAAAATGTCAAAAAGAAGATCAAACGTAGGGAAGTGCTTTGCCATGGAAATTGGTAGAGAGACTTACGTAGGAAGTTGCCCTTGCTCCCGACTCTTACGACATGCGGATTATTATACATATTTATTAAGAGGAAAACGTCCCCAATTTCTCTTTCTATCTCCCTTCCTCTCTATCTCTGTATCTTTCCATCCTCTTGCTATCTTTCTCTATTTTCTCTATTTGGCCCAGTATCAGCAAAAATGGACCTTAGGCGAGACCAAAATAAAATCGAGATTCCCGGGCAGGACCCATGTGAAATTGGTGCGGGCGGGCGGATTTTATTTTTTATTTCGGTTCCCATGTATATACATGACTATGTGTGCATGCCATGTTGAACTTTTTTGCAGCATTTTCCGGTAATTTGTATTCAATTTTTTTACAGACAACAGGTACGCGGTTTACAAGTTCAATTTTTCTATATTTCGGCCAACGATGGCCCTGATCTGTACATCAGGGAGTCGTACATGCTCGGGTTTGTGTGACTCCATGTCACAGATATACTCACATGATCAGTACTGTACATGTGTGAACTGTTCCCCAAAAAAATTGGCTTTGGCTCAATTTTGGTGCGGGAGGGCCCAGGAATCTCTATTTTTTTGGTCTCGCCTTAGGGTGATTTTTTACAAAATGACTTTTCTGCTTTTGTCATCTATCAATATTGCTTTCTAGTGTTCACATGGTATCGTATCAGACGGAACAAAGCAATAAATATTGATGACACAGAAGCTTCTCAAACAAGTATAGGTACATATCAGAAAATACAACAATTTATCACAGCGTTTTCCACATCGCAATACTAGTACTATGTGTTACAAAAGGCAGTGTAATACATCAGCCATCCAGTTTTTGTTGTAAAACAACTCTCGCACAACTTCTGGCATAGAGCATGGATGGCCTTGATCCCCATCACTGCAGACGGCAATGGAAACTGCTTTAAAGGGGAAGTATACCCTAAAATCAAATTTTCACCGGTTGTAGTCTTCTGGGTGCTGAGTCGAATGGTCTTGGTCCGAGGAAGCTGCGACGCTCCCTTCCTACTTGAATCCCAATCGAACTCGCGCACTTCCACCGAAACTGGGTGACTGCGCCCTACTAGATGGGGATTTGTATGCAAAATGTCACTAAAAGCGCCATTTCGTTCTTATAAAAGCACGGATGACCGCGATTGGCCCATATGTTGTAGTCTTTTGGACGCTGAGTCGACTGGTTTTGGTCCGAAAAGGCTGCGATGCAGCGTTCCTCCTTTATTCCCAATCGAACATGGTTGAACAAGCGGTCACGTGCTCCTGCGTACACCAGTCACCTGGCCACCGTGCCTGCAGGGTACAACTTACTACCCTGTTTGACCTTTTTTGGGTGCAGTCCTGTCACTCGAGTTGAACTCGAGCTGAACCTTGGTGTGAAAGTTGTCGCCTGCTGGCGCGGTGACCAGGTGATTTGGGCACCCAGGAGCACGTGACCGCTTGTTCAACCATGTTCGATTGGGAATAAAGGAGGAACGCTGCATCGCAGCCTTTTCGGACCAAAACCAGTCGACTCAGCGTCCAAAAGACTACAACATATGGGCCAATTGCGGTCATCCGTGCTTTTATAAGAACGAAATGGCGCTTTTAGTGACATTTTGCATACAAATCCCCATCTAGTAGGGCGCAGTCACCCAGTTTCGGTGGAAGTGCGCGAGTTCGATTGGGATTCAAGTAGGAAGGGAGCGTCGCAGCTTCCTCGGACCAAGACCATTCGACTCAGCACCCAGAAGACTACAACTGGTGAAAATTTGATTTTAGGGTATACTTCCCCTTTAAGGTGGCAGACTACCCAAAAATTCGCTTAAAAATCGAATTTGTAAATTCATATTGAGTGCTACGTCAGTTGAAAGAGCATGAATAGCTGCAAATTCTCTGAAAATTGGGTCCCGATCTGACCGGCCGTTCAAGAGTTATGGCCGAAAATGTGCCCTTGCAAGGAAAGATTTTTTTGTTGCACGCTGTCATTTGTTGGCAGCACTGTATTTGAATGTGAGCAGACCGTGCGCAACTTGTCGTATCATGGAAACACGTGAAAGTGTGCAGAAATTTGCTCCAAGTCCAAAAAATCAGGTTTTTGAGCCACATATTGGGCTGCACGGCGGCGGGCTTCGCCCGCCGCTGTGCAGCAGGACTTTTGCCAGCACCCTCGTGACGTTGCAGATATGTGGCTTGATTATTGTAGTTGACGTTGATTTAGTGACTTTGGCAAGTTTGAGTCGTGTCAAGAAGTCAGGTAGGATTCAGTACTACAGTCCGTTTCAAAAAGATTTGCAATCCTGGCGATCGCCCGCGGAGTTTGGCGTCTTACCGTATGAGCACTCGAGCGCTGCCTGGAAAAACTCACTGTGAAATCGAAGAAATATTCCGCGCGAAAGCAGGAAAAATGACAACTCACTCACGTTGATACAGTACGTCTGTCGTCTGGTTTACAACAAACGAGTTCTTCCTCGTATCGATAATGGAGTCAGAGAGGACATGTCGAAACGAAAGTGTTGTAAATGTTGACGAGCGGCATGGGTTCCAATTCGTTTTGTGACCAAAATAGTTTCTTTGAGCTGCGATGCAATTTTAATACTCACCGTGTGACGAAAACGACATCGACACGGACTCATTCCCAAGGCCATGACTTGCAAAGCTATCCGTGTGACTTCGACGACATTTTGAGAAAAGCAGACGCTTGTGAACGCTGATAGAAGACGGCGTTGACTGCTAAATTCAAATAAATTGGCGATCTTGAAATACTAGAATAAATCTCAAAAAGCTACAGCGCGATGACTTCCATATTCACTCACACCATTGCAGTGTTGTGGGTGTGTTCACATGGCGTGAGCCAGTCAAGTGTCAGTCAGTTCGGCAGGAAGCGCGAGGTCCAACAACAACAAGTCGTTTGGTGCAGCCATCTTCTTTGTCTTGTACCAGCTTGATCACCAAAACAATGAAGAAAAAAGTTTGACTTGAGGATAGGTTGGGATTTGAACTCACAACTTCATGGTCAGCAGACAGCATTCATAACCACAAGGCCAAAAAGGAAAGGATAAATCGTGGGTTTTGATAAAAAATCGATACTGGCTTCCAGGGCAAATTGTAAACCATGGGAAAAGGCCGGAAACCTGGCCGAAATTCTAACTCCTTAACGGCTGCTCCAATTGTTCCGAAACCTTCACAGAACAATTTGCCGTGTCCTAACAAGCCATTCTATGTACTTTGTTGTCCAAATTTCCCTTATCTTCATACTTTTTAAGACCCAAACCTGATTGTAAATCTTTTTGAAACAGACTATAGGCAGTAGTGAAACGTGAGTGGTAGTCTTTGCCGGTTTCTGAGGGTATCCTGGATTTGGTGTGCAGCGCTGTGGAAATGGCTTGCTGTGGAGGTCCCAGCACTGGATGTTGTATCAAAGGTACGACCTCGTAGCACGTGCTAAACCTAAAGAAATTCAAAAATTGACTTGGGTCTGTGGGAGTGTGTGAGAGAACGCCCACTCGTTCCGTTGTGACAGATTCCAGGGCCTCGTTGAGGGGCCCTACCCCATCACCTATGGCTGCTTCTGGACTTGTTCTAGGTTTGAGTCCCGCGCACGAACAGAATGAGCACGAAAATGTGAAAAAATTGTAAATGCATTTGTTTGGCTCCTGGGTGGCTCGCACACCGTGGCACTATGCCGGAAATTTGAGTTTTTCCGGCCTGGAAAGCCTGTCAGTGAGGCGCAAGAGCTTGTAAATCATGTCCTGAGGGCCAGCATAGTGGCAGGAGTGTGTGGTCAAAATTTCACTCAAATCCATTGAGAAACACCAAAGTTACGGTCAATTGAATGCCATATGAAATTTATGGGTAGGCTGCCCCCTTAACACCATCCCAAGTCTGCTGATAATCCGCAGAAGTCAAGAACAGGAGGGAGGGTGGCTATAACTACACCTTGAGTCCCAGTCTGTGCATCCCATAGGGAATATGACACAGGCACAACATTCTAACACCACACCGTGACTTCATCTCATGCACGATTTAGAGGTAGTCCATCATTGTTCTTCCTGCACCTCATTGAAATTTGAGCTCTGTGGGAAACTTCCAGCATGCGCATCAGTGCGCCTTGATTGCAGCACTGAGGGCAAAGAGTTCATAGCTCATTAATCACAAGTACTGTTCATCTCTTGCCCCGTCCTGGGGTTTTCATGTTCGGCCTCACGGAGTCCCGGGCGCAACATCATGTCACTAGCGGCAGCGCTCTTTCGTCCATACTTGAGTTGATCCAGGACATTTCAGTGCAACTGCCTCTGTTGCCGTCGCCTCACTAGTTTCTCCTCGTTGAGTATTTCCCCCCAGCGGAGTTGTACTAAAATCAGAAGGGCCCTACGAGGATTTCCAGATGTCAGAAAGTACTTTCACCAGCAGAGATCTCCTTTGGCGAAGCGCTTAAACCAAGTTGAATTTTTTTCGTCGCTAAATAAGAATTGGGCGTCGACAAAAAAACATCTCGTGAGGACTGTCGGTGTTCTCTACCAGACGCGATGATTCCTACCTAGGAAGTCCAATGACTTCTGGCAGAGATGGACGGCAGTTGGCCATAGTGAGCGAACGCTCCTACTACACTAGTACAAGTAGGACGATCAAATGCTTTCATTGTCGCAATCAACCAATTTTTCTTTAGATGTGCACAGCAAAGCAAGAGTTTTTTTGCGGTGGCAGAAAATGACTTTTTCTGCAAAAATATTTTCACCCGAAGGTCGATTCTTGCTGATACCGGGCCATTTTTTCCCTCTCCACTGCAATTCAACACACAAACTAACTTACATTCACATTTGGGCATTGAGCTTAAAGTGCCGTCTGCTTTACAGATCGCTGGAGTCTTGCTTGGGGGTGCTGTGCCCTTACTGCATGTGTAGACCAATGCTTCACCATACCTGATGTATATGTTGTTCGTAGTGGCATTAGCAATTTCCGGCACAGTGCAATTGATTACTAGACAAGTGAACACATCGACACACAAGCATTATAAAAACAGTTGGGCAAATAACACACACACACACACACACACACATATATACACACACTCACCCCCCCCCCCCACCTTAACACCCACTACTACTATTTAGGGGTGAATCGAACATCGAATTTTGAATACCAACGAACTCTCACACTAACGAACGAACTCGAACGAACATTCTCCATTATGTATTTCATGGATGTATTTTTTTTAAGACCACACAGACTGTCAGTACAGGCGTTCTTTGTACTTGACTGGCCACAGTTCAGTATTGACGGTGTGATGCTAAACAAACACTGTGATCATGCATGTACATCTACATGTAAGCTAGCTCTATAGAGCCAGAGACCAGAATCACTGAGAAAGTGAGAATGCTCATTGACCGCATGATACACTGCGAGAACAGAAATATTTTTTCATCACGCCAGCCTGCGCTGAATCACAGGGTTTTGCAGCTAGCTTAGCTGCAAAGTCCATCACCATCGTCCGGACGAGAGTTTTCTTCTCATCGCTAGCTCAGGTCGTCAGATCAGGAGAAATGGTACTTCTTGAGGTGGGTACGAAGATTGCTCGTCGTCACTCTGTTGCGTGATAGAACCTTTTTGAAATTGAGAAAAGGACTTCGTGTTTCTCGACCACTTTATCAAATTCCGCTCCAACTCCGGACCGCGATGAAAGGCTCGAAAGTTTTGACATCATTGCAACGAGTGAACGTTTGCTTTCAGGAGCAGATGTCACAAGCGACTCGACTCCTTTCACTACGAGTACAAATCAATCTCAAACGGACACACAGAAATATTTCAGGAAAATTTGTTCCGACGCGACAACTCCTTCAACTTGCTTCAAGTGATCAGCAAGGCAGACGCAGTGGATCAGCGTGATCTCCCAACCTCCGCGGCTCCTTCGTGATCTAGTCACAAGCGATCTTTATGCTTGCTTGCTGTGTTCGTTTATCAATCTTGCGAGTTCGTTCGTTCGTTTTCAAATTTTTCAAACGAATATTCAAACTTTCGTTCGTTCATTTCACCCCTACGTACTATTAGCAGCATGACTGCTCAGATGGGCAAGTGTCACCCCTATGACAAGGGGACCAGAAAACGGGAGTTGGATTCCAACAAGTATTGCGAATGTCTGGATAGGTCTTGCTGCCAGCTGAAACAGCATTAATTTTAGCGGTTAACACTGTGGGCAGCTGAGAGGCATGCGCGCACTGCATGCAATACGAATCGAAATCGCTTCAACCACTTTCGATGTGGTGCGGACCTTGTGTTTCGTGATGCTTGAACATTGCCATTGATAAAGCCGGAAAATGCGAAAAAAAATTCAAAACGAAGATCCAACGTAGGAAAGTCCTTTACCACGGAAATTGGTAGAAAGATTTACGTAGGAAGTTGCCCTTGCTCCCGGCTCTTACGACATGTGGATTATTATACGTATTTATTAAGAGGAAAACGTCCCCACTTTCTCCTTCTAGCTCTCTTTCTCTTTATAACTTTATCTTTCCACCTTCTTGCTATCTTTCTCTATTTCTCCCTCTCCACTGCAATTCAACACACAAACTAACTTACATTCACATTTGGGCATTGCACTAAAAGTGCCGTCTGCTTGACAGATTGCTCGAGTCTCGCTTGGTGGTGCTGTGCCCTTACTGCATGTGTAGACCAGTGCTTCACCATACATGATGTATGTGTTGTTCGTAGTGCCGTTAGCAATATCCGGCACAGTGCAATTGTATACTGGAGAAGTAAACACATCGACACAGAATCATTATAAAAACAGTTTAATTAACACACACACACACACACTGTCACACAGTGTATGAGTGTGCGTGTGTGTGTGTGTGTGTGTGTGGGTGTGTGTGTGGGTGTGTGTGTGGGTGTACATGTGCGATGGGGGGGGGGGTATGCGACCTCCTCCCCCCCCCCCCCCCTCACACACCTCAGACCTCAGACATGCCCATCGCGGAAGCAATGATAGCGAACAGCTATGTTAGACATAGCAACTTGTGCTGGGATTACACCATTCAACAGCTTGCAAGGCTGATGAATTGACCGCCACTATTTTTAGCCTGGTATCCACCACACAGCTGTTTGAAGTGACTTTTTCTGGTCAGTGAATCCCTATTTTTCGTTTTTCCATTTTTTTCCTACACACACCACACCACATACTCCGGCATACACTGGCTGTTGGTAACCACCCAGGAGAATGTAAGAAAAGTCAGGAAGAGTCCGAGAAAGAGAAGAAAGACGTGTGCGACCATAATCGTCGGGAATTGAACCCGCAACCCCTCGATTGGAAATCGACTGCACATACCACTCACACACACACGCACACACACACACACACACACACACACACACACACACACACGCATCCCCCTTCACACACACTCGTATCCCCCTACACACACGCATACCCCCCCCACGACACACACAGACACAAACACACACACACACAGAGAAAATATCCCAAGAGTTTGAGAAAGAGAGAGAGGTTGGAGAACTCACCAATATATGGATTTCTGGTAGACACAATTGACTGATTGGTGATATAAGGAGGAAACCAAGGACTGATATCAACAGTGCTAGAGTTGATCCGGGATCTGAAATGGATTCCTTTTTGTCCAAGGTTCATCACAATCAGGATCGGTCTTTGATCTACAACCGTAAAGTTGGGTGTCTTATACCAAAGATTCCGCGCGTAGTCAAACACGTGAACATCTATTTTAGTCAGGTCCAGAAATAGTGGTAAAACATTGTGTTGCATCACATCTATGACAGAAGAGAGGGAAAGCGGAGCACATACACGCACAACAACAAAATTGAGAAGTAAAACCATCCCAAGATTCCAAGTGCAAAGTATAATTGTATAATTTATTTAAACAAACCGCGAGGAGACAATAATAATAATTTTGATAACCGCAATCAACGAGAGAGCTTGGAAGCTCAGGGCCCTGCGCTATGCTTTGTTGCCTAGCTCATCGCGCATGTTGTTAGAACTGATGGAAATGCTTTTTTCCTTTGATTAGCTACATCATTGTATTGCAAAAACGTTTCAATGAGATACTGAAGTACAAGTAACGTCTTCTGCATAGCTATGGGACCGGCGCTGACTCTGCCGATCACGGGCGTTCTGGAGTCGACGGGATGTCTGTCCTGACGTTTTCTGGGACCGGCGCTGACTCTGCCGATCACGGGCGTTCTTCTTCTTCTTATTATTATTATACTGACGGCAACTAACATCCATTCTGATCGCATTTACTCGTCTCCCTACCTCGTATTTCTTTCCAGAAAATCTCCCCATACAGCAGGGAGTCGTTTACATAATATGACTCCCTGCTATACATCTACATGACGTTATAATTATTATGCTATCGGCCTACACGCGATTCCCGGGCTGGTCGACAGGCGGCCCAGCCAGCCTGCTAGTGGGATCTCGGCCTCGCACACAAATCCACACAAAATTTAATGGTACTGCACTGAATGCATTCCCCCCATACACTTCGCATATATACTCATTCTCTTGATGGTACCGTACTCTTGATGGTACGGGACAGGTACGGGATAGCGCCAGGCATGTCGATGGCACAAACAAACAAAAATATTGTGGCCAGCTGTCTTTGCTGGTACGGTACAGTACGGGACAGATACGGGATAGCGCCAGGCGTGACACAAACAAACAAACACACAAACAAACACCAAATTAAAGCTGTGTGGACCCTGGCTAGCGCCAGACGTTACTGAAGTAACGTCTTCTGCATAGCTACGGGAATAAAATCAGCTGAACCGACATTTTAACCGCAATCAATAAAATCAGCTGAACCGACATTTGTGTACTTTATTCATGCAATGAAAAAACAGTGGAGACGATGTGCAATAAAACGATGAAAATATGAAGAAATGGTGTAGTGAAAAAATATGGATTCAAACAAGTTTTCGTACAAAACTCATCAGGAATCGTCGTTGTACTAAAGGACACTGAAACAAAATTGAACTATTATAGAAAGTCTAAGTTAGAGAAATAACACTAAGAACAACAGTAGTGAAATTTACAAGTGTGAATTTTAACAATCAAAGCGAGAGCAATAACGAATGCGTGTGCTAACAATAAACTTTCAAATGGAAAAATGAACAAACAAGAGAAAGAAAGAAGGAAGGACAAAGTGATAACACATAACAGCAGTACATTTCACCTGGGCCATTAATGGCCAAGCTTGGCCGCACCAAACACGACACGTTACTTGAACAATTTCAACCCAATTATACTATCTTTCTGTACACACAAATTAGGCTTATACAGACGCTGATAGAGAGCTTCCAACACTTTAAACTGTAGTCCATAACCATGACGACCACGGCACAATACAGTGAACGAAGAGTCGGAATACGAATTGCAACAATCAGGACTAGCTAGCAGATGATTGTACACTGAAGCTGTGGAACATTGCGAGGTAATTAGGGGGCCAATGGATGTATCTAAAGAGGGTGACCAGTGAAAGAAACTGGCGTCTAAAAAGTGAAGGGATTGAATATGGCATAGCTTATTTTGATTTTCTTTAGTTTCAAATTTATTTATCAAAGGCTGTGTTACTAGATTTTAAAATGGATCTACACACTCTAGCTTGAAGTACATCAAGGCTAGCTAGGTGCTCAGCACTTAATCTATAAGTCCACACTGGAATGGTGTATTCAGTTTCAGGGCGAACTTACCTCTTATAGAGGAGGGTGATATTATAGTGATGTAAATGACGGCCCATATAGCAGAGTAGGTTTACTCTTTGCTGGAACTTTCTGAAAACGGTTGCAAAATGACTATGAAACTTTAGGTCGGGGGTTTAGCTCTACACCAAGGTGAACTACAGAACGGTGAGGTGACGAATAGATAGGAATATTGTCCATACGGGTTGGTGATGGTGTTGGGAGTTGGTAGTTGCAGAGGGAAGAAGTCTTTTCCGGAGAGAACTCACCATGAACGCTCCTGGCCCATCGCTGGCAACTGTTGAGCTCCTGCTGGTTGTTACACCAATTCTCATTGTGGGATAATGCCCGATGATGAGCATACAGAAGAGTCACATCGTCTGCACACAGAAAGTGGCTACTATGGTGGAGACTATCAGGGAGGGTGTAAATATACAGTAGAAAGAGTGGAGGGGGGCAAGGTGCGATCCATGCGGAACTCCGCTGGTGACGGAATGAGTCGCGGAGATCGTCTGCTATATCTTCACTTGTAGCTTTCTGCGGTTTAAAAATCTCTGGGACCATTTAACTGTGGAGTGATCCATGCATCTTTCTAGACATTTGATGAGTGTTGGGTGATGGACCTTATCAAAGGCTTTCCGGAAATCTAGGAAAACACAGTCAAACTTTCCACCGGTGTCTGAGATATCAGCAATCCGGTGACTCAGGGTACGAGCTGGTCGGTTGTCGACCTTGTGAGGGATATATGCAAATTGACTCGCCACAATCAATTGATGTTGATTGATATACTCGTTGAGGCTAGACGCCGAGCGAAACTCGAAGAGGCGACGAATCAGGTGCAAGAGCGATATAGGTTGATAGTTAGTAGGCGATGCCGTACTGCCTTTGCCTTTGTACAAGGGGCTGACCGTAGCCAGCTTCCATTCAGTCGGAAAGGTGGATGCTGATAAGCTTTTGTTGAACATAAAAGACAGTGATTCACACAACAGATGCACCATACTTCGTAGAACTGGGGTTAGATAGTTAGCTGACTGAGTAGACTTTCGAGAGAACGGATGAGTCAGATCATAGTGGACCTGTCCTGGACTAAACCTGTGGAAGTGAAACAAGTTGGAGTTGCTTGCGTTGTTTAAGTAGCGACATTCATTTCTTCTCAATGAGCCCATAGACACAAGCGCTCGCTGGAAGAGAACTGAGTCACAAAGTCTAACATTTTATCGACCAATTCATTTTCGTTTTTTGAAGAAACGTTATGGCGAACCAGTTTGAGAAGTCTGTGAAAAGATGCGCATACAAATGGGTGGCAAGGTAACCATCGTTAAACTTTCTGCACGTTATCATGCCAAAATTACAAAAAAACGTTAAACTTTTTGGTCGTTAAACTTTCCGGAAATACAGTAGTTGCAGGGTCGAGCGGGTGATTTGCACAGAGGTGATTTCAGCAAGAATCAAGGCTCCTGGTGCAATGGTGGGATGTCGATGATATTCATGAACACACTTGCTATCTGTCGGCGAGGAGTGTCAGCAAGAGTACATAATCCCCAGAGTGTGCCACGCCTGATCAAGCTCTGCATAGGGTCATGGTCGAGTGTAGTCGGATCTTCTGATGTCAAGCATACACTTCACACCAGCGTAAGACCAGTCTCGAGGCAGGGTACCGACGTTTTTGATTGGAGACTCCCGGGTTTCCCTCAGATGTATACGGTTTTATGACGCAAAAATCCGATTACGCTCGACCAAGACCGTATGGGGGTTCTTGAGTTATGAATGTAGTATGCACATATGCGTATGCGAAAAGGGGAAATGCAGACAATCAGAATCAACACGTGGCTTTTAGCCGTAGTTCGCATGCCCTGATCCCAAACCGCGGGAATCTCCAAGTTTCAACCACCTCTGAAGCTTGTAGAGCTCGTAGACCTGTGGAGAGCCTCCTAAAAGTGGGACAGGATATAAGAACAGCTCTCGAACCTTCCCGAGAGTCTCCAACTTTTCCGAGAGGATTTAAGAACGCACCCTTGGCCTGAGGGGGTGATTATATGTGCAGCTCCAGCCTGGGCTGGTCGACAGGCGGGCCAGCCTGCCTGCACCGGGATGTCGGGGTTGTACACAAATCCACACAAAACCTGTGGTGCGTTTACATGGCAAGCGGGCTGGCCCGGCGAGGCGGGATCCCGCCTCTAGGCACCCGGGATCCCGGCTAGGCGGGCCAGAAAAAGCACATAATTATAATTAGACAAGCCCGGGCCAGAGTTGTGTTATCAAGGTGTCGACACTGCGTTCATACTACAAAATAGGTACTTTTACCTTTTGAAGGAAGTTATAAAGAGGATTCCCGATATTGTCTTGAAAATCTATGAAGCTATTTGTACAGCAACAAGAAGGACGTGCAGTGAGCACTGTTTATTTGTCGACATGCATGATTTACATTCAAATGGAAGGGGAACTACTTTCAAAATACTTTGATATGGACAGTTAAAAATGTGAAAAACAGGAAAAAGAAACGAGGTGATACGATACACCAAGCATGTGCCACAGCGCGAAAAGAAATCAGCAGAAGAATACATTGTGTGAGAAAAAAGAGTTTAGGTTTATAACCTGAGTATGGTTTGCAGCCCTGCGTTTCAGCCCGGGGCAGCACACTACAGTCGTAGAGTGTTCGTTGCATACTCACAACGAGCTGATGTGTACTCAGCGCATAAACTGACTGCGGGCTGGCGACCAGCCCGGCCTTGCACATGTAAACACCCTCGACGGGCTGGCCCGCTCGCTCCAGCCCGTGCTGGAGTTGCACGTATTTAGGTGGTGAAATGTGCTATGGTTAGTATGCACGTTGTACAGATGTACGAAGTTCTGTACTAGGGTCGTAGGTGTGTACATACCCGGTTGGGTGTTCATTGTGTGCTATCAAGAGTACATAACCCCCCAGAGTGTGCAACTCCACTATGGGTGCTGTCCCGACAGAATTTCAAGTTGACGTCATTTTGATGATGCAATGCGCACTGTACACGGATTATCAGACGAATCCGGAACCTGTGGTTGACCGAAGCCGATCGATCCTGTACAAATTATTGCAAAGAAAAACGTGTGATGCGTTGACACCCGTACACATGTTGTAAATCACTGCTGCAAGGAGCATTGCGTCATAAATAATGACGTCAACTTGAAATTCTGTCGGGACAACAGGGTATGTGGGAGTTGCACACTCTGGGGGGTTATGTACTCTTGGTGCTATACATGCGCGTTTGACCCATTTAGACTCATAATCCATGGCAAACAATCGCTTTTCAAGCTTCTCCACTTTGAAGAGACCTGATGACTAGATAGATATTTGTGGAGAAGAAGTCCTGCTCATTCATCGGCGAACCGAGTCTACGAGAGTCTAACGTTATGAGAGTCTGCGAGGTTCCACGAGATTCTACAGGATTTCGTGCATCTGTACAACATGCAGAAGGTTTAACAAAAATGGTTCTTCACTTGTTTGAGGGAAAGACACAAACGGGAAAAGATGGTTCAATTCTTTTTTAATTGCCCGCAAGCTCCAACACAGCCACTTACATATTCAGGAAACTTCACTTCTCAACTCCAAAAACGGTTTCTGCAATTAAAATTAAAATTAGGATAAATAATACGCCAAATTTTTGGGCCTGGCCCATCATCAGGGCAATGCAAAGAGAAAGTTTATTTATTTCGCTCAGGCCCTACGCTATGCTTTATTTTGCTCATCATGCATATTATTCTAACAGATGGAAACATTTGCAATACAATGATGTAGCCGATCAGTTCGTTGTGGTTTAGTCGGGCATTGTAGCCGTCATGAATCATGATCGACGTAAAACACTATAGCCAATCAATAGAAAAAACATTTTCATCAGTTCTAATAACATGCATGGTGAGCTAGGCAAATAAGCATAGCGTAGGGCCCTGAGCTTCCAAGCTCCCTCGTACCTGTTCTGATGTTTTGTACGGACCAGTCAGCCGTGTACATCAATGAGCAGATTCAGTGCTAGCACCAGGGAGTCGTAAATATACGACTCTCTGGTGCTAGGTAACACTGGCTGTAGTACGGCGGAGCCAGCGACTCTTTGAACACATGTACATGTATGACATTTACATGTCCAGGGTGCGAGTGGAAGGAGCCTGTTCATGTCCCTTCTGCCTATTTATACTGACTTACATCGGCAACTTTTTCCGGTTCCTCCGAGCAAACATGTTTTTCCTTGGGTACAGTTTAAATCACAAGGACCTTGAAAAACAAACGCATCAACACAAGAAAAAAACAATCAAAGTAAGATCAAGAATATGAAGAATTCGTTGTGACTAGTTCTAAGTAGCTACGCTGTCCCCCGGGCATCGAGCACTCTTTCGACCAACCTGCAACCTTTTCTGGTTCCCACTTATTAAGGCGGCAGATTACCCAAATTATTTTCCTAAAACCGAATTTGTAAATTCTTATCGAGTGCTACATCATTTGAAAGAGCATGAATAGCTGCACAATCTCTGAAAATTTGTCTCGATGTGACCAGCCGTCCAAGAGTTATGGCCGAAAATGTGCCCTTGCAAGGAAAAGTTTTTTTGTTGCACGCTGTCATTTTTTGGCAGCACTGTATTTGAATCTGGGCAGACTGTAAGCAACTTGTCGTATCAAGGGAAACGCGAAAGTGTGCAGAATTTTGCTCCAAGTCCAAAAATCACGAATTTCAGCCGTGCAGCAGAACTTTTGCCAGCACCCTCGTGACGTTGCAGATATGTGGCTTGATTACTGTAGTTGACGTTGATTTAGTGACTTAAACTTTGGCAAGTTTGAGTCGTGTCTAGAAGTCAGGTAGGATTCAGTACTAGGCAGTAGTGGAATGTGAGTGGTTGTCTTTGCCGATTTTTGAGGGTATCCAGAGGTCCCAGCCCTGGATGTTTTACCAAAGGTACGCCCTCGTAGCACCTGCTAAACCTAAAAAAGTCAAAAAATGACTTCGGTCTGTGGGAGACTGTGAGAGAACGCCCACTCGTTCCGTTGTGACAGATTCCAGGGCCACGTTGAGGGCCCTATCCCACCACCCATTGCTGCTTCTGGACTTTTTTAGGTTTAATTCCCACGCACGGACACAATGGGTAAGAAAACGTGAAAAAAATTGTAAATGCATTTGTTGGCTCCTGGGTGGCTCGCACACCGTGGCACTATGCCGGAATTTTGAGTTTTTCCGGCCTGAAAAGCCTGTCAGTGAGGCGCAAGAACTTTTAACCCATGTCCAGACGGCCAACATAGTGGTAGGAGTGTGTGGTGAAAATTTCACTCGAATCCATTCAGAGACACCAACGTTACGGTCAATTGAATTCTCTGTCCACCCTGCACTCACTCGTTGCACACACATCCGCCCACTCACTGATAAGTGTACACCACTATTGAACACGTCAACATTGCCAGTGGGGGCCACCACAGCGCAAAAAAAGGTCCGCGCGAAGACAAAAGAGGCCGACCCTGCACACGTCATCTCCTTTTATCTCACACCGTGCTCCCTGGAAAGAAAACACTACTGTCTTAACATTCTACTCTCCATGCTAGAGTATAGAGTAGACACACACGCGTGCAGGACGCGACACACCAAAAGACAAGATAGATCTAGAAAAAAATCTAAAAAGATTCAAAATATCACCCAATGTGCGAAAATTATTCACCCAGTGCCATGGCAACAAAATGGCTGCCAAAGGTATTCGAAGCATGTGGCCAAGTTAGGTTTGGCCAGGGAGTCGTAAAATACCTGGTATTTTACGACTCCCTGGTTTTGGCATCATGCAGGCTCTTTCCTTTTTACACACTGGGCCTGGGCCTAGTGACCTAGTCCCTATATATGGCCTAGGGCCTATGCTTTCCTTAATAGTTCAGTTGGTTCCACTTTTCACTTCCTTTCTCAAGCTTGGAGGTTCGTTTGCATGCAAACCTTCATGGCGAGTGATGCCCCGTCACTTTTGGAAGCGGTTGGTGGTAGTAGTAGTAGTAGTAGTAGTGAGGATTCCGACAGTGAGGATTCCGGTAGCGAACATGAGACTACTGCTGCGCTCTCAATTTTGGATCGTCTTCGCCCCCTACTCCATCTGATTTGAGCAGAAAGAGGAAAATCCAACTGAACTCTGGCTCCAAAACAAGAGGTGTTTATAAGCCGCCAACTCCCGGAAAAGCACCAGAGTCGTTGGCCGGCTGTACGAGTTCAGCAATTTCCCAAGGAGGAATTGTGTGTAAAGAGCGGCAAGCTGTTCTGTGAAACATGCCGACATTAGGTTCTCCAGAAGCACATCAAGTCTTCCAAGCACGAACTCGGAAAGAAGGCAAGCAGTGAGCGGAGTGCGAAGCGTGCTCAAACATTGATCGATGGTCACGCCTACAGACGACGAAGACGAAGTCAAAAGGCTCCACCCTTTCTGATGAGGTTCTGGTGTTTAGAGTCGATTGCCTGAAAACCTTTACGAGTGATGGTGTTCCTCTGAATCAGATTGAGCACTTCTGGCCTCTTCTCGAGCAACATGGCCTACGTTTGACTGGAAGCCAACACCTCAGTGACCTCATCCCAATGATCCGAGATAAGGAAGTGGCTGAGGTGAAGGCCTTCTTGATGGACAGGAACCACAAGCATATCTCCATTGTGTTCGATGGGACCACGCATGTTTACGAGGCAATGGCCATTATTGCGCGGTGTATTGGAGCTGACTTTACGATACACCAGCGTTTGATGATCTCACTGAAGCTTGCTGCGGAGACTATGACGGGAGAACAGATTGCTCATCGACTTCTCCATACCCTCGCAGTAACATTTCAGATCAACTCGCCTCATCTTGTCACCAATATGCGTGATAGGGCTTCTGTAAATGACGTAGCAGTGAGGACAATCAAGTAGCAGTGAGGACAATCAAGCAGTGAGGACAATCAAGCCGCTGTATCCCCAGGTGATGGACGTTGGCTGCTTTAGCCACACCTTGGACAACGTGGGTCGTGCAATCGGAGGTGATACCCTGAAAGGCTTCGTAATGGATTGGATCACCCTATTCTCCCATAGCCCTAAAAGCCGTATACAATGGAAAGCACAGACAGGCGTTAGCATGTGCTCCTACAGCCAAACCCGCTGGTGGAGCAAGTGGGAGGTAATGCAGCAGATGCATAACCTCTTTGGGGATGTGATGAAGTTCATCAGTGATGTGGAAGACAACAGTGTGACGAAGAGGCATCTGAAGCAGTCCATCGCAGATCTTGAAGCGAGGGCCAGGATTCAAATTCAGCTTGCTGTCACTGTCGAGTTTGGCGAGCCGTTTGTACAAGCTACATACAGGCTTGAAGGCGATGCGGCGCTGTGCTTGAAGGCATATGAGGAAGTGAGTACCTTGACGCTGTTTACCAACACAGACCCTCTTCAACTGCCCTCTACAGCTGCTGTTGCGCGCGTCCTGGCTAACGGCAATGTAGCTCATTACCAAGCATGGATGGAGGTGGGGTATGAATGTGTTCGCCCAGCTGTTTGCTACTTCAACGCTAGATTTGGAAATGGTGGTGCTCTCTTTCCTGTCGTCCAGGCATTCCGCGCTGCTCGGCTCTTCCACCCAGGCAAAGTGAATGAGATGCAACCAGATATGGAGGATGTTGAGGCGCTGGTTGCATTCCCCTTCATTTCCCAGGCGGAGGTCGAAGCAATGACAGCAGATTTGCCAGGCTATCTAGCTGCATGCGAGGATACACATGCTGGAATTTATCCTCTTCTTTGGTGGCGAGGCCATACTGATATCGAAAGCTGGTGCAATGCACTGCGCAAAGTGCTACTAGTTCAACCCAGTTCAGCTGCCGCAGAGCGAGTCTTCAGCCTGCTGCAAAACTCCTTCATTGATAGGCAAGAGCGAGCATTGGAGGACTACATCGAGGCGGCGATTATGTTGCAGTACAATCACTAGGTCCTGGATGGAGAAGCCTAGAGAAAGTGGATTGTGTGGACAGAGCAATGCAGTCGTGGTACATGCACATTTTGTTTTACAGCTTGTCTTTCCTCCTCAGATACAGTACAGGTATGCACTGGACATGTATTTGCTCCAATTCCGCGGCTTCAATGTCCTCTTTTTTCTTTTTTTCTATGCCCTCCTCTTCTTCTTCTTTCTCTTTAGCGATCGATAAAACCATGTGTGATAATGCTGATGTTTAGCCTTCAGTCCTGTCTTCCCAGCCTACTTCAAAATAGCTTGTATTGTTTACATGTGCATGTACGAGAGTATCCACCTGCTGATCTCGTAATATTGTGTGATCATACTGTATTGAAATCGATAAAACCGTGTGTGATAATGTTGATGTTTAGAGCCTTCAGTCCTGTCTTCCCAGCCTGCTTCAAAATAGCTTGTATTGTTTGCATGTGCATATACGAGAGTATCCACCTGCTGATCTCGTAATATTGTGTGATCATATTAAATTTTAATACTGTATGGTAATAGCAAAGTTTAAGAATTCTTCAATCAACTACATCAACCATCGATATTCCCACTAATCATGAATCATGATCGCCTTTCAGTGTGACATGAACTGTTGCTTGCTTTCATAACATGCCTGTTCTTAGCTGCTCTGAGGCCTTGTCTTTTTCTTCTCATGTCACTACATGTAGTATGAGCGATTTGGAACTCCAATGGAAATACGGGTTGGACTTTCTTTCGTATTTCAAGAGTGTCAGGTGCTGGTACACACCGGCAAGTCTTGCCAGCACTAGAAAAATACCTTTGGCTTTACAGTTGTAGCTTTAAATACACAACTCTTGCAAAACGTGTAGTTTTTGAAGAAAATCTGGCAAAAATCAGGAAAGATGCATTTTTATACCTGGGATTCATTTTTACCCCAAAGATGCAAATATTGTGCAAAACATAATGTGGAAAACCCTACTCACCATCCGAGTTACAATAATCATGATAATAATAACTGTGAAAAGAAGAAGGACAAAATGTTACGAGTTCTAACGAACTGTCCACCAACGTAACTAGATCTTATACAGTCAGCGAGTGCGACAAAATGGCACAAAACTGATAAGGAGTGCTGAGACATTCGACAACCTGACACCTATCTCCAACACTTCTCCAAGGCGCAAACCAACAACCTTCCAATTTGCTGACTGTATAAGATCTGGTTATGTTGGTGGACAGTAAGTCATAACTTGTAACATGTTGTCCTTCTTCTTTTCACAATAATTTTATTGGCTAGCCATCCAAGTTAAATAATAATAACAACAACAAATTGTCTTGTGCAAAAGACCTTACTTTGAATGCCGCATGCTCCACAGCAACCTCTCGTTTCTTGAGAACAGACTAGCTTTTCACATGTTGGATTGTGGGGGCAATAGGCCACTCCGCTCTTTCCGCAATCAGCAAAAAGAGAAGAACAATAAAAGTGCTGTAATGCCTTAATGGCTCATGGCTGAAAAAAGGACAAAATGTGTTTACACGTTACGACTAACTGTCCACCAAACTAACCACATAATATCTCTTAAACTGTCAAATCCTATATATCGGATTTTGGAAAAATTTCCATTAATCCTGATCATGCTTCTGCCCGGGATAAGTTGTTTTCCTAAATTGCATTGTTAGGTGTTAGGGCAGTATCAGTAGGTTCTATTCAGAAGTTTTCAAGAGTGCCAGTATTATCACTTGACTTATAGGGCCGTTTTAGTGAGGACCTGTCAGTTTTTTCTTGGATCCTATATATATATAGGATTTGAGTATTCTGCATTATCCAGAGTGTTGTAATGGATGCAGATGATGATAGAACTGGCAGTGAAAGTAATATAGAATGCCTAGTATGCTGAATAAGTACACAGATACCATGAATAGAAGTTTGTGATTGATCGGGGAGCACTACCACAGTTTGGCATATTTAGTGCTTTTAACCGTACTGCAGCAGAAGCTTCACCCCGAAAATTGGCCGATCTGCTTGAAGGTTGGATTATTCCTACGGATGTATAAGGAAACAGTTCCAAACACCTCATGAAACCATTTCATCAATTTTCATAGGTTCTTTAGCCAAATCCTTTAGCCAGAAACCTAATCCTATAATATCTAGGATTTGCTGGTGACACTTAAAAAATACTTCAGTAAAAGAGATACAGCTAGAGAGTGGTACAACAAGGCACCACACTGGTAGGAAGTACTGAGACACCCAACGGTTACTAGCTCAGTGTGGTTTAGCCTAGCCTAAGCATGCTGCTAGCTATTAGATGTAAATCCAACACAGTCAATGCAATGATACCACCGTAGGAGCACCCCACCATCTCGTCCTTTCGCAGTAGTATTGTGCGGGTGGTGTCCTGCCAGTAAGTCATAATATTATTACACGAACCTATTACACTTATTGCGCGTTCTGCAGTCAATCCGTACTCAATTCACCTTCAGGCGAACACGAGCTCTGGCCAAGTCTGACCTTATCATACTAAGGTTCTCACGCCGTACAAACTTCATTGCACTCTGCCATACGATTTTCCTTTCCTTGGCTGTGAAATCAAGGTGGGGCGCTCACGCGAGACTGGGCGCTCAGGCGGTACTTTACGGTAATTGCTTGTGCATGACTGTGTTACCCTACTTCAACTTCAATGGTATCCTATTGAGTGTTGTACAAACCCAGGCATTATTGTTTCAATGTTTTTGCCAGCAGATTTTTTACTGAAATAGGGAAATAGGGAATTTGGATGGACACACCCATTCCCTTAGTGCTGCACATCCGAACGAGTTGTGTTATTTCGCAGCGTTTCAGCACTTCGCCATCATCAGGTAACTGAACAATGATTGTTCTTATTACCTGATGATGGCCATGTGCCAAAGCATCTTGTAGTAAAGGTCTGGTCAGACTACGGCAAATTGTTCGTCCCTGACGAAAAAAGAAAATCGTTCAAGATTAGAATCGTGACCACGCTGGACAGGGGGGAGAATTATTATCTTTATTCTCACGATGGCCGTAGCCAATCAGAGAGAGGCAGTACTATGTGTTATCAATCAGCGTGGGTGCAATAAACCGGGAGAAACGGTGGCTAGTGGGAACCGTGGTTTGGGTGCTTTATTTAAGTAAAGACGAAGAAGGAAGTATATGCATTGCGAAGGTAGGTAGGCGATAGAGAATGGAAAGCAAAACACATTTCAAGCGTCAAGCGGCAATCTCCACGAACAACATCAAATTCCCTCACCTCAGTCATCGCGAACACCTTCAGTGCAATCTTTGCAACCATCCTTATGAGTTTTGTTGTTGTCCGTGGCCAATTAGTTCCTCGATATCGAGATGAAAAATCAGTGAATATCAGCGTCAATGGCGTGTCAGCGTTAAACTCCTGTCTTGGAGCAGAAAAGCGTCGTCCGTTCTTGCTTCCTTTTCTTTGGAGCGTCTACTCTCGATTTCACCGCTCTGGCATCAGGTTTCCGTGGCATTATAATCAGTGGATTGTTTTGTTTTTGCCTCAGTTTGACCAGGCCCTTAAGGACCTGGTTTGGATGTGCAGTGCTATAGGAAGGGTGTTTCCACACGGATTCCTTATTTCAGAGACGAAGCTGCATGCAGCCTAAGCCCTTCTTCAAATTTCTGACTGGCCACCGTTTCACCTTTCTGTTCCTCCACTACAGTTACCTGAGCAGCGCCAATGGTACAAAACGTCGCCTGTGTCAAACTTATTCGTTTCCATCTCCCATGCGGCCCTATTTGTCTCTGGGTGTGTACATTTCAGGTATAACATGTACTTTGTAGAGTAGAAAAGATGCAACGAGAAAGAAGATGGCATTATAAGATTGCATCCACGCACACCATGACCTGTGTCCAGAGCAAGGAGTGGTGCTTTCGTGAAGGCGTTCCCTGTTGGAAGATTCAAGGAAGTCCTCCTGTTGTCTGGATGGGCAGTCATGAGTAAGTCGAGTTGCAATCCTAGTCTGCAGGAACAATGAGTGCTTCCACCTAAGTTTTAGCAAACAACTCCATAATTGCTTGCATCCACATAGGCGCTTTACCAGCTTCTTCGCTTATTAGTGCATTAACTATGCGTTCTGACCTGCAGTTTTCAGACTGTTTTGATATTATCTGTGCTGCCTATTCTGCAGTTGCATGCGTATAAGCACGTCATTAACCCCGCTTGTTCCTCATTCTTCGTTCCACTTGACCTGAGCGAAGACTAGCCAAGCTTGCCTGGTGAAGTCAAAGCGACAAGGCTGATAACAATAATACATTCTGACCCGCTGATGGGGTGTCGTTTTCGGTTGGAGTTTTTTTCGATGGGAATGTGTGCTAGCCTCCCACATTGGAGCCCCATTTTTACAGTTAATCATGGGCATAGCCATTATGGGTTGCAACCAGCTGAAGCATGTCTTAGAGTGAAATTTTCAAATTTTGTTTTCTCGTGAAAACAGTTTTTGGGACGTAACTAATTACTTGACCTCTTGAAGGCCCCAAAGTAGTCTAAAAGTCCCCCAAATACCGCTTTCAAATTATTGTACTTTGAAATAGAAAATTACAGTTTTCATACAGTCGGACACACAGATACACAAGTGGCTTTTGCGGAGGAGCACAATACAATGGATAAAGTTTTTGAGCAAGTCAACGACATCAGTTCTAAGTCATGGACCAAGCTTTTCCTGGAAAGCACCACGATCCTCTGGGGAAGGGGGGGGGGATGTTGTTGCACTTGCCGCGATGATACTCTTTTGAATCTGACAGTGACAATTTTGATCGTCACCTGTACTCCCGACACTGCGTCATACGGCTCATGAGAGCTGAGCGCAGTGAGCGGTATGTAACGTCGCAAGTTAGTTCGTCATCCAATGTACTCGCCCGCAAGGCTTCTTCACTACTGGGGACGATTCAGCTTGTTGTCAACATCAACATCAGATCCAAGAAAAAATTCGTCGCTCAGCAGACCCGCTGCCACGCCCGCCTTGTTGACAGCCTGACCAAGCCCGGGCCAAGCGATCGTCTGGCCCTACGAGCTGCTCTAGTATCACTGGACACGGATATTGTCAGTGCTTGCTTGACAGCTACTTGAACTACTTGAACTAGACGGCCAAACAAGTGTTTGAAAGAATGTGAGATGATGATCGCCACCGGTTCATGAATGAAGGGGAGCATAAACGGGCTCAACAAAAACATGTTTTCATTACGTCATTTCTCCATTTTTTTTGTTCGCAAACCCAAAGTAATGTTTTAGCTGACCGCGGCCCATATTAAGATTTTATTAAACAGTTCACTGGTAATAAAAATGAATAGTTACTCACCATACATGTGCAACGTGAAAATCCACAGTCATTATTAATAACATTGTTGTCGTAAATATAGCGTCCCATGTAGTTGCACCAATCTGCCGTCCACAGGAAAGGCCACATCAATAATTACAAAGTTGACGTTCACAACAATACACTGACCGTCTGCTTAAATTTTCAAAGTGAATATAAGCGTCAATGGTGCATCAGCGTCAAACCCGGGGCCCTGTTTTGGAGCTGAAAGACGTCATCCGTTCTTGCTTTTTTGGACCGTTAACTCTCGATTCCGCCGCTCTGGTGTCAAGTTTTTAAGGAGATTTGGATTATAATGACAGGTTTATTTCTGAGCAGCGCCAATGGTACAAAACATCGCCTGTGTATAGTTGCATGAAAGGCCACATCAATAATTACAAAGTTGACTTCCACGTAGATTTTCCAAATACGTTTCCCCTCTGATAAGCACCCTAATCAGGTGGTGGTGGTGGTGGCGGCGGGTGCGGTGGCGGTGGTGGTGTTGGTGGTGGTGGTGATGGTGGTTGCGGTGGTGGTGGTGGTGGTGGTGGTGGTGGTGGTGATGTTCATTATCACTGACAGTCACCGAAAGGGTGTCCGGTAGACCGAAATGCCCGAAACTGGATATGTATATTCTTGTTGTTATTCTCGTATCTGTCCCGAAGAGGACTGACGACAAAAGAATTGACTTTGAGCAATTGTATATGCGTGAGCACACATGTGTGTGAGGGTGTGTGTATGTGTGCGTGTGCGTGTATGTATGTGTGAGCATATGTGTGGGTGTCCACACATTCGTACGTGCGTGTGTGCGTGCACAAATACGTATATTTCCGTGCATGCATGTGTGTATGTGTGTATATGTGTGTATGTGTGTGTATGTGTGTGTGTAAGCATGCGTGTGTGCATGCGCGTGGATGTGCATGTGCATGTGTGTGTGTGTGTGTGTGTGTGTATGTTTGCATGTGCGTGTGCATGTGCATGTGCGTGTGTATGGGTGTGTGTTTGTGTGTGTGTGTGTGTGTGTGTGTGTGTGTGTGTGTGTGTGTGTGTGTGCGTGTGTTTGTGTGTGTGTGCGTGTGTGTGTGTGTGTTTGTGTGCCAGCTAGTTTGGTTGGTGGGTACACTTATGCCTGGTTGTGTTCGGTCTGTTGCCAACAGGGTCAGTTGCTTGAAGGTGTACTGTTGTATCTGCTGCATTTGTTGGTTTCAGGGTTCATGTTCTTTCTTTTTGAAGTATACATACCTGTTGACCATGGACTGCTTCTGGCTAGATTAACTCTTGTGTAATCAATGGTGCTAGTGAAGCTTTTATCAGATCCACTCTGATTTAGCTACCCACCCTAGTAGCAAATATTACCTTCACTGGGGGCAGGCCGGGTAACTGCAGTTGGATCCCGGGACGGATACCTTGATGCCGTCAATCCTTTTCCTTTACCTTGTCCTCACCCATTTACTGAGACGTGGTGAGCCCATAAGTGGGATCATTTTCAAATCCACCCAGAGTTTTGGGAATTTCGGAAGGTGTCGGCCGTTGGGTGGTTCAATAGCCAATTGAGTCATCTTTCCAAGATTCCTTTGAGTCTCTCTCCCTTCTCCCGGGGAGACCCATGTGACCAGTTTTGGCAGTGAGCAACAAGGACCAGTAAGTTTGTGTGTGTATGTGTGTGTGTATGTGTGTATATGTGTGTGTGTGCATGTTTGTGTGTATGTGTGTGTGTGTGTGTGTGTGTGTGTGTGTGTGTGTGTGTGTGAGTGTGTGTGTGTGTGTGTATGTGTGTGTGTGTGTGTGTGTGTGTGTGTGTGTGTGTGTGTGTGTGCGTGTGTGTGACCTGTACTTACTGGGAATATAGAATACTGCTTCCATGGAGAAAGCAGCTTGACCAAAGATTCCGTAAGCCGCAGGACTTGACACGCGAACCTTGTAATGGCGACTGGACCTCAAGTTTACAATCCCTTCTATTCGGCTGACTGACGTATTGACCAGCTGGGAATAATTTGCGCCAAATTTGCCGAATTCAACGGTCAGATTGGGAGATCCTGGAACAGCCGGTAATGGTACCATCAAGTGCTGCGGGGTGCGTCTTGCGATGGCATTGGGGAGTGGCGGCGTGGACCAGCGATAGGTGGGAAGGCCTGTTGCATATGGGAAAGGGACAAGAAAATGGGCATGTAGAGATAAGGTGCAACTTTTACATGAACCAAGTAAAAAATGCAATATCAAATTTGGACTTCACAGAGAATTTCAAAGTTTTAGGAAATTAGAGGCAAAGTTTTAGGAAATTAGAGGCCACATGCCACGTACTTTTAGGGTTTTACGTCGGGCCCTAGACGACGGCTACTTTGGCCAACCGGACAACGAAGAAGTTGTGACCAAAGAGAATGATTTTATTTCTTGCGCATGCGTATGTAGAATGACGTAATACTCAGTGAGTCAGGTCGCTACAGTACTCCCCCGCCAGTGGTGAGGTCGGGAGGAGCGAAGCACGATAAACAAGAAACAAGAAAGAGAAGAGAAAGGAAAGCGCAGCATGTACAAGGCGGAAAGGCAAAAATATAATATGATACAATCATATGTAAAGGCGAGAGCGCTGCGTGCGTGAAATTTGTTTGTGACGTGGCAACAAAGGCCGAAACAAAAATCAAAAATGCAGAAAGCGAAAATGAGAGAGATGCATGACAGAGGCGGTTTAACATGTCAGAGGTGTGTTAACGTGACAGAGGTGGAGAGCATGTCAGAGGCAGAAAGAAAGAAAAGAGGAAATGTACGCGTGACAGAGGAGTATTATCATGTCAGAGGCGGCTGCATGTTGCAGGCTTGGCGGGATACCAGCAGGAGCGCTGCACTGGGGCGAGGCGTGCCGACTGAGGCGGGGACAGATGGAGGCGAGCGCAGCTCCATGGGGTCCGGTGCCGGGCGTGTGCCTGCGTGCGTGCACAGTTGGGCTGGTACGGATGGTGGAGGTGGCCAATTTCCAGCTTGAGGCCAGGACGAATACGGACGACTGGACAATGCCGTGGCAGGATAGCGGGGTATCCAGGTGGGCCGGGGAGGGTGGCAGGGGCCACAGCAGCTCCGAGGCGGATCCAGTGACGAGTGGTGGTGAGGCTCAAGTTTTACGTCAACAGCCGGCGATTGACGGGATCCCGAGAGTTGAGGCGAGCAGGAAACTGCGGCGGGCCGAGCTCGGGGATGGCATGCTCAAAACTCCGAAGAGCGCAGCGTCAGGAGTCACCAATTTAGGGTTTTACGTCGGGCCCTAGACGACGGCTACTTTGGCCAACCGGACAACGAAGAAGTTGTGACCAAAGAGAATGATTTTATTTCTTGCGCATGCGTATGTAGAATGACGTAATACTCAGTGAGTCAGGTCGCTACATACTGCTCCTTTCTCTCCGAAACTCAACACTTGCAAGCCAGATATGAAAGAAAGAAAAAATCATCAGTCACAAAACCGGGACTCGAACCAGGGACCTTACTATTCGCGAGCAATGCTCTAACCAACTGAGCTACAGTATGACTCTTATCTACAGTGATGGTAAATCTATCCTTCTTCGATCAATCCATATCTGGCTTGCATCATACTGGCAATTCACACCAATCAAGAGGGCCCTCGGCCATTCGCTTGATATCATGGGGAGCGCATCAAACTATGTCCACTGCGAGCAAATACAAATTGCAATTTCAAATTTGGACTTCACGGAGAATTTCAAAGTTTTAGGAAATTAGAGGCCACATGCCACGTACTGCTCTTTTCTCTCCGAAACTCAACACTTGCAAGCCAGATATGAAAGAAAGAAAAAATCATCAGTCACAACACCGGGACTCGAACCAGGGACCTTACTATTCGCGAGCAATGCTCTAACCAACTGAGCTACAGTATGACTCTTATCCACAGTGATGGTAAATCTATCCTTCTTCGATCAATCCATATCTGGCTTGCATCATACTGGCAACTCACACCAATCAAGAGGGCCCTCGGCCATTCGCTTGCTATCATGGGGAGCGCATCAAACTATGTCCACTGCGAGCAAATACAAATTGCAATTTCAAATTTGGACTTCACGGAGAATTTCAAAGTTTTAGGAAATTAGAGGCCACATGCCACGTACTGCTCTTTTCTCTCCGAAACTCAACACTTGCAAGCCAGATATGAAAGAAAGAAATAATCATTAGTCACACCACCGGGACTCGAACCAGAGACCTTGCTATTCGCGAGCAATGCTCTAACCAACTGAGCTACAGTATGACAGCATATTTCACTCCTTAGCTCCTTAGTGCTATATTGACTGCTTATATTTGACTGCTTATGGGTTGCGCAGTTGAACGGTGCCTAGTGCAGCATGGTCACTGTATGAGTAGGTGATGGTGCAACGGTTGTGCAATCCTAAAACCGGGATTCATGAGGTAATCGTTCGGGAATTTGAAATACCGACTGTTTGTCGTGATAAATCTAATACTGTAAAAGCCATTATTCTAACGAGGCGCATATATACGACGATTTCCCAAAATTGATTAGTTTACTTGTACCAAAGAAAACGGTTCTCACTCATTCTCAACGCTCAATAGGACAGTCTATGTATCGATTTCTGTATAACAGATTTCTCCTCGTTAACTCGTTAGAGTTAGCAGTTCGTTATGGCTTTTACAGTATTGACATCGTACTTGGTCAGTATAGGAAACAAGGGAGCTTGGAAACTCAGGGCCCTACGCTATGCTTTTTTTGCCTAGCTCATCATGCATGTTATTAGAACTGATGGAAATATTTTTTCCATTGATTGTTGTTGTTGTTGTTGTTGTTGTTGTAGAAGTTTATTTAACGTCGCACCACAAACAGGCGATTTCGCCTCCTTTGATACATGTGGGCGACAGAAGGAATGAGAGAGAGAGGGGGGGGGGACAGAAGTACGGAGAGAGGAAGGGTAGAAATAAATAAGCAAATCAACCTTGCTACATCATTGTATTGCAAAAACGTTTCAACCAGTTTGAATATGAGTTAGGCAAAAGTAATTGCAGATTTTATTGAGGATTGTGATTTTCTCCTTCATCCACTGTTGGTTCGCTCCTTCTTTTCCTTTTTATCTCCTTAGAATCGGATTTTGTGGCTTTTTTGTAGAAGTACATTGACCTGTTGAGCCAATGAGGTCAAAGTATATTCCATACAATACGATACAATACAATAATACATTAATTTCCTGGCCTTGATAGTGTGCTTGTGCTTAACTGTTGCTGACGGCCGAATTCATGGTTGCCTATGGAGCACATTATATCACTTTACAGTCTCCTATAACACTCATCCTGTCCGACGGCAAAAGAGGGTGCAGATTTAGTTTTTCAGCACGTTATCAGCAATGACTACTGATCTCTTTCAATCAAATGAACCCCTCGATAGGCACATTGCCTTTGGGTCATTTCATAATAATAATAATAATAACCTTCAGCAACTTGGGTCTTCTATTATACGCATCCTGTCTTTGCTTTTGTAATGCTAAAATAATGCTCGGGATAGCACTCGCTACTGCTCTTCAGAAACTTGGCCTGACTCTCACTCACAATAAAACTGTTGTGATTTTCATTGTTTCCAAGCGGTCGCTGGTTTCTCCCACAATTTCATCCGACTGTTGTATGACATGCTATGCGACATCCTTATACTGTACAACACCGTATTGATGTCGGGCTGTCTGACTGGCTGTCGTTGATGGTACAGAACAAGTACGGGATAGCGCCAGACATGCCGATGACACAAACAAACAAACACGGAATTAAAGCTGTGTAGACCCTGGCTAGCGTCTGACATTACTGAAGTCCCTCCCCAATTTCATTAATTACTGCTTTCTATCTGCATCCGCCATCTTTTCATTGGGCAGATCTGCCCATTTGGTTTGCGAATTAAAATAAACACAACAACAACAACAACAACAACAACAACAACAACAACAACAACAACAACAACAACAACAACAACAACAACAACAACAACAACAGCAACAGCAACAGCAACAGCAACAGCAACAGCAACAGCAACAGCAACAGCAACAGCAACAGCAACAGCAACAGCAACAGCAACAGCAACAGCAACAGCAGCAGCAGCAGCAGCAGCAGCAGCAGCAGCAGCAGCAGCAGCAACAGCAACAGCAACAGCAACAGCAACAGCAACAGCAACAGCAACAGCAACAGCAACAGCAACAGCAACAGCAACAGCAACAGCAACAGCAACAGCAACAGCAACAGCAACAGCAACAGCAACAGCAACAGCAACAGCAACAGCAACAACAACAACAACAACAACAACAACAACAACAACAACAACAACAACAACAACAACAACAACAACAACAACAACAACAACAACAACAACAACAACAACAACAACAACAACAACAACAACAACAACAACAACAACAACAACAACAACAACAACAACAAGTACCCAAGCCTGGTGACCCAACCAACAAATTATAGACCCATCTCTCTCTTGAGCACTACATCAAAAATCCAAGAAAAAAAATGCACATCAACTCCTCTACAAGCACATCACACCCCACCTGCCCAACCAGCAGTCCGGATTCCGTGAGAAAGACGACACTGAGCAGCAGCTCGCCCGTCTCGTCCATACCCTCTCCACTGCGAGAGACGACGGGAAACACGTCAATGCCTGCTTTTTTGATCTAAGCAAGGCCTTCGATCATGTGTGGCATGCAGTCCTTCTAGCAAAACTCTCCCACTATGGTGTCCGGGGCAATGCCCTGGAGTGGTTCCGACGGTACCTGTTGGGGCGTCGGCAAAGGGTCCAGGTGGATGGCGACCTATCGCCTTTCCTCGAGATCCATGCCGGCGTCCCTCAGGGATCTGTTCTTGGGCCGCTTCTACTCCTCGTCTACACCATAGACCTTCCACACGCATGTGAGAATCCCGGCACCACCTGTAGCCAATTTGCAGATGACACCGCTCTGATTTCCATAGCGGGAACTCTTCAAGACTGCACTCGAAACCTACAACAGAGTGTCACAGCAGCTGGAGACTGGCTTCAAAGATGGCACCTGCTGGTTAACACAAAGAAAACAGTCATCTTCCCGTTTTACCACAATAACCGCCCCCCTGAACAGCTACCCCAGATCACCCTCAGGAATAGTCCGCTTACCGTAGCACAAAAACACAAACACCTCGGAATAATCTTTCAGCATGACCTCCGTTGGACGGAGCATGTTGAATACATAGTCAAAAAATCACTCAAGTCTTTCAATATTCTTTTTAGACTAAGGTCTATACTCACCAGTGATTCTTTATCTCACATCTATCAGACATACATACTACCTATATTCTCATATGTGAGCAATGCTCTCACACCGTTGTTCCACACTTCCCTTGACAGGCTAGAACGACTCCAGCTGAGAGCCGCCAGAATATGTCTCCACCTTCCCTTTACACACACTTAGAACACTCCCACCTTTTGCATCGCATCAAATGGCCAACATTATTTTCACGCTTTAAAGTTAAACATATACTCTTCGCGCATTCTCTGCGCCACAATTATGCCCCACCACATATACTCTCGCTGCATACTGCTAGCAACGTGCAACCTTCGTAACATTTACGTCGCTCTCGTACTTGGCACTTGCCAACTCCGGACTGACCGCTGTCTCCATTCTCCCCTGTACAAGGCCCTTCATTACTTGAATTGCCTGCCCACCCAGCTTCGCGAAATCCCTTCTCGTACTCCTTTCAAATCCGAGATATCCCTGCTGTTGCACAACTCTGTATGCTCGTGTAGCGACCACCCCTGCCCGTACACTTAAGTACACAACTCTGTATGCTCGTGTGGCGACCACCCCTGCCCGTACACTTAAGTAGTCATTAACCCCTAGGCCCTGCCCACCCAATTCTTCCTCACTCTTTCTCCTTTCTTACACTATTATCTCTTATTGGCCACTGGCTATCGTGAGAATAAAGATTTGAAACAACAACAACAACAAGTTATGTCTTTTGCATAGTTACGGGAATAAAAGCCTCGTAAAAGACGTCAGCTTCGCCTCGGTCTTTTACTCGACTTTTATTTCCTATATTGACCTCATAGTCTGTCAATATTAGATACGTATTATGAAACATTCCTGTTTCTTTTGACCAGCATTTGCACATACACACACATACACATGCATGTACATATACACATACACACACACACATACACACGCAAACACACATACACACACACACACACACACACACAAGTGTAATCCAGCATGCACTTGCTGTCGATAACCATCCAGGAGAATGAAAGAAAACACACACACACACACACACACACACACACACACACACACATACATATGAACGCAAAAAGAAACAATTGTATACTTGAAATCTCACCGACTGGTGCGACTCCGGTTGACACGATTGACAGAGTCGTGATATGAGGTCTTTTCGCGGTGATTCGAGATCGGAAATAGGTTCCCGTTTGTCCATCGTTCATCACAATTAGGAACGGCGTTTGTTTCAGAGCCGTGAAGTGTTTTGTCGAGTTCCATTTATTCGAGCCTTGGTCAAAGAACTCAACGTCTATTACCAAATCTGTCATGGTGGTGGTTGTGAATGTACTTCTGCCAGTATGCTTCATCACATCTATCACACACGATGGGCAAATGAACGTGCACGCACACCAGTGACACACAGAGCAGCTCTGAGAGTCTAGCGCGAAGTAGTGATGGTCAACTTAAGCGACCAGGCAATGTCTGCCAAGTGAACAATGCTGTCATGCCGGAAATAGGATTTTGGGAGGAGACATTCAAAACAAACGAACGTAGCTACGACGTTCAGTTAGACTCTCCTAGCTCTACACACCCGAAGGTATTTGCTAGTATTTCTCACTGTCTGCACAGGTATTTGCTAGTATTTCTCACTGTCTGCACAGGTATTTGCTAGTATTTCGCACTGTCTGCACACCTGCAGGTATTTGCTAGTATTTCTCACTGTCTGCACACCCGCAGGTATTTGCTAGTATTTCTCACTGTCTGCACACCCGCAGGTATTTGCTAGTATTTCTCACTGTCTGCACACCCGCAGGTATTTGCTAGTATTTCTCACTGTCTGCACACCCGCAGGTATTTGCTAGTATTTCTCACTGTCTGCACACCCGCAGGTATTTGCTAGTATTTCTCACTGTCTGCACACCCGCAGGTATTGGCTAGTATTTCTCACTGTCTGCACACCCTCAGGTATTTGCTAGTATTTCTCACTGTCTGCACACCCGCAGGTATTTGCTACTTCGAAGTAGTATTTCTCACTGTCTGCACACCCGCAGGTATTTGCTAGTATTTCTCACTGTCTGCACACCCGCAGGTATTTGCTAGTATTTCTCACTGTCTGCATACCCGCAGGTATTTGCTAGTATTTCTCACTGTCTGCACACCCGCAGGTATTTCGGCTAGTATTTCTCACTGTCTGCACCCATGGAACACCTCTACATCAATATAGATCAAACTTGTTTTCTTTTTCGAAAGAGTCTGTTTCCCTACTGAAGAGCTTTGAGCTGACTTGAACAGAATTCCTTGTTTCCTCTTCACCACTCACAACAATAGGGGGAATTCCCCACCCGACAACGACACCAAGCAAGGTGCACACACCCTAATCCCCCATACACACACTCACGTACACACACGAACACGAGAACACACACACAGACACACACACATACACAGACACACATTATTATCATAACAGGGATGAAGATAATGTTATATGTTTGGATAGCAGTTTATGTTATTCAAAAATTACAATTGTGTAGCAGTCTTTGATTTTGTTAAAAGCAATTTTTTCAAGGTTGACTGTTTTGGCAGTGTTTACCTGTCTTTGTTGAGAGTGATGCCTGAAAGCCAGTTTGCAAAAAAAACCAATTGAAGCATACATTATACACGTGAACGCAGATTGAGAGCACCTGCAACATGTGCAACACACTGTACGATGTTCATGTTACTTCATAGCGCAGGCTAAGCATGGTATTCATTGCAGTATTCATTGCAGTTTTCTGCGAGTCATGGTGACGTTGGAGTAGCAGTAGATCGTTTTTGCATCGCAAACTGCGACGCGATACAGGATAAATTTATCCCTAACATAATAATAATAAAAAATTGGTTGTGAGCAACACTGGCTCACACTCAAATAACTGCTTTTCACCAGAAAAATATTATATTTCAACGTTTCGGTCATGAAATAACCATCATCAGGAATGAAGTGGGCACACCGGTTAGGATGGGTTAATATACTAGGAGCGCTGCAAACTGATAACAAATCACACCTGCATGCACTATGACGAGAGAGAGAACAAAAGGACAAAACATCACCAAAAAAACCCAGGTATAGAAATAACGCAATACGCGACAACTCTAAAAATGGCACAGGTACAAGCAACAAACAGAATGTACATGTGCACTAGGTGCGTGCAGACATGTAATTGCAGGCGCTAGCAACAACAGTAGTAGTAACAGTGCACTAGTTCAAGGGGTGCTAAACCACCACCATCCAGGAAGAGCGAGTATCAGGGCCAGAAATATGTACAAGGCTTCACCAGAGAATTCACAGGAGGTCCCACCCTGCGTTATTGTTTATGCTGGGGTTCGTGTCGCGAATTTGTATTGCTTCGCGTATTCTCCTCCTGGCCCGATCCAACTCAGTGGCAAGGACGCGAACCTCTGTGAATGCCGACTCGCCAAGCGGCAGTACCTTGCCGCCATGGTGAAGTCGGTAGTGCTCGCCCAGGGCTTTTCCAGACGTCTTGTTGCGTGAGTTATCATTGTGTTCTTTTGTTCGCGTTGCTACACTGCGGCCAGTCTCTCCAACATACTTCTCCGAGCACTTGCAGGTCAGACGATAAACCACGTTGCGTCTTGTGCATTCTACCTCGCTCGATTGGCATGCAACGCAGGCGGCTTTAGGCCTTCCTCGTCGCCTCGGGGCAGCGGGATCCACCCACTTACGGCAGCAAGGTCCAGTGAGGCTGGACTTAGTGACGCTGTTGGAAAGCCTTGCATTCTTGTAGATTATCTGTACATTTAGATTGTATTTGTTTAGAAGACGGTGGACCCTGTAGTGGATGGCATCCGTTTTGAATGGTAACTTCAACGTGGATCGATAGTCTTTCTTTTGTTTAGCAGGTCGTCTGGCTCGTTCATGAGCAGTCGCGATAACTTTGTCAGGAAAGTTGTTGAATTTTAATGTGTCAATAACCTTTTGCTCACTTCGCTGGCGGGCTGCAGGATCAGAGGAAAGGCGGGCCGCGCGGAGGAATTCCGAAGACGCGATGGCGAGTTTTTGCTGTTGCGGAACGCACGAGTTGAAGTCTGAGACGAGGCCACTGTGGCAAGCTTTGCGGAACAGCTCGAATGATATTGCGCCCTCGGAGGAGACATGAATAGTCGTGTCCATAAAGTCAACCGACCCAGTTTCCTCCGAAGATTGATACGTGAACTTGATGCTCGCATTGGCGGCATTGAAGAATGCAATCAGCTGGCGGAGAAGCGCGGCCCCCAGTGTCCACAGCATAATGATGTCATCAATATAACGCTTGTAGAGTACGGGAGCACCAGGCGAGTTTAGCAACAGCGAGGTTTCGAGGTCATGCATGAAGATAATCGCAAACAGGGGCGCTAGGTTGTTACCCATGGCGATGCCTTCCCTCTGGTGGTAGACCTTCTCACCAAATCTGAAATAATTGGATCTTAGAACGAAGGTTAACAGCTCTTCGATCTGCTCCACGCTTAAACCAAATGTGTCAACAGACTCGATGTGCTGCTGCAGGACTCTAGCAACCGCCTCCACCCCTTCAGCGATAGGGATACTTGGGTAAAGAGCGACCACGTCCATTGTAACGATGATGGTCCCCGCTGGGGCTTTTTTTTTTTTTTTTTTTTTTTTAACTTTGTTTTACTTCGCAAAATCCAAACGGGAATTTCTTCCCAATGACAAGGTAGCGAAGATCTTAAGAGGGAAGAAAAAAAAGACAGAGAGAGAGAGAAAAAAAGAAGGAAAGAAAAAAGTGTGTATGCACTGGAAATGATAGTCAGCTGGAAATCGGATCGCTTGTAGGTCGGGATACACTTGCCGGATATCCTCCAGTGCTTCCAGCGTGTTTTTCAGATGTGCTGGGACATACTTCAGGCATTGGTTGAGTATACGCTCCAGGACAATAGAAATATTGGTCACCGGGCTATCACAGCCTCACTGGACCTTGCTGCCGTAAGTGGGTGGATCCCGCTGCCCCGAGGCGACGAGGAAGGCCTAAAGCCGCCTGCGTTGCATGCCAATCGAGCGAGGTAGAATGCACAAGACGCAACGTGGTTTATCGTCTGACCTGCAAGTGCTCGGAGAAGTATGTTGGAGAGACTGGCCGCAGTGTAGCAACGCGAACAAAAGAACACAATGATAACTCACGCAACAAGACGTCTGGAAAAGCCCTGGGCGAGCACTACCGACTTCACCATGGCGGCGAGGTACTGCCGCTTGGCGAGTCGGCATTCACAGAGGTTCGCGTCCTTGCCACTGAGTTGGATCGGGCCAGGAGGAGAATACGCGAAGCAATACAAATTCGCGACACGAGCCCCAGCATAAACAATAACGCAGGGTGGGACCTCCTGTGAATTCTCTGGTGAAGCCTTGTACATATTTCTGGCCCTGATACTCGCTCTTCCTGGATGGTGGTGGTTGAGCACCCCTTGAACTAGTGCACTGTTACTACTACTGTTGTTGCTAGCGCCTGCAATTACATGTCTGCACGCACCTAGTGCACATGTACATTCTGTTTGTTGCTTGTACCTGTGCCATTTTTAGAGTTGTCGCGTATTGCGTTATTTCTATACCTGGGTTTTTTTGGTGATGTTTTGTCCTTTTGTTCTCTCTCTCGTCATAGTGCATGCAGGTGTGATTTGTTATCAGTTTGCAGCGCTCCTAGTATATTAACCCATCCTAACCGGTGTGCCCACTTCATTCCTGATGATGGTTATTTCATGACCGAAACGTTGAAATATAATATTTTTCTGGTGAAAAGCAGTTATTTGAGTGTGAGCCAGTGTTGCTCACAACCAATTTTTTACTTATGAAGCTGCGTGATGCGTCCTACAAGATTTTATAATAATAATAATATGTACAAAGAGAAAGACCAAGGAAATACAAGTTACACTATACTGTCCACTAACACCACCAGTTACTAAACAATTAGCTCATGCGATAACACACAGACACACACACACACACACACACACAGACACACACACACACACACACACACACACACACACACATGTGAACACGCATGCATACCATACACACACACACAAAACAAACACACACACAAACACACGCACGCACACACACACACACACACATATATAATATTAAATACACACACACACACACACAAAAACACAAACACACACACACACAAAAACACAAACACACACACACGCATATACACCCACATGTATACACAAACACATACACACAAACGTGCACACACACACACACATACACATACACATACACACACACACACGTGCACACACACACACACAAACAGGAAGCATGACAGCAGTGCGCTAACTTACATCTGCAACTATCTCCAGCTGGCGAGGATACGCATGTCATTCCCAGCGTGCAAGTCCCATTGCACAGGCCTTGAAAACACAAACGTATGGACACGGAATAAACACTTGTTGAATTGCTGGTTTACATAGCAAACTAAAAACTCTTTGTTTGATGGCAGGAGGGCACGGTGGGTTGGTCTATGACCATGATTGAGAAACGACAGGTAGCAAGTTATAGTCTTGTTGTGAAGCTGGAAGTTTTCCAGCCGTGCCCTGGCACGAGGAAAACAGGCGCAGCAATGCATTAGGTGGTCAAGGAAAACTGCTGACTCATGCCGTGTACTTGGCTGCCATAAGTTGTTCCACTGATTCACCCCGAATACTTTATAAGTAGAAATTTGCGTAGGTCAATAATTTCGTCCAACTCCAAAGAAAGGGAGTTTGTGGGGTTGTAAATTTCGTCCATGGATCATAAGAGTGTATTGAAAAGCTGGACAAATCGACATTAGCCCGGCATTTGATTTGGTCCGTAAGCTCCTTGGACGAAGAAGATGAAATTTACGTGTAGTTCCAAACGAATACTTCTGCTTGTACAGTACTTATGTCCCATAAGCGGTTCCACTGACACACCCTGTAAACTGATCGCCCAGAAGCGGTTCCGCTCGTTCGCCACTGTGACATCATTCGGCTAAGGCTGCGGTCACAATTGCACATTTTTGGGGCGTTGCCTAAGCGTAACTTATGCTTTCACCGTTGCCTCGGCAACGGTAGAGGCCTAAGTTACGCTTTGGCGGAAAGTTTGGATTTCGCTACGCCAAAACATGTGAGCGGAACCTCCGTTTTCGCGGATCCGCTTTGATGGTTGCTTTGCATGGTGAAGGCTTTGGAGTTTGGTGTGCTACTTCTGCACCCGGAGTTCTGGTGTTGTTTGGTTGCCGTTTGGTATTCAGTTTTCATATTGTTCTTCTTGGCCAATGTACTGTATGTTCTGGAGATCTCGCAAACCATACTGCATCGCTATGATTGTATAGTGGGTGAGGGAATACGTCTCCGAAATCATTGACTCCGATTGCGGACGATCTCCAACTCTCCCCTTCTCTCGCCAAGCAATGCATTCACCAGAGTACGAAACACTGGGACTGTAACCAGAGAGTACCGTAAAGTCTGCTGCAAACGCCCACCCCAGTTTTGCAAGATCTGCTGGCCTATACGCACTGACCCCATGCACTTTCACGCCTACTGTACGAAAGTGCATCTCACACCGTACCGTAGCGCGAGGAGTGCTTTGCTACGGTAAACTAAGTCCATTTTCCGGGTTTCAAAATGTTTTTGGGCACTAGTTACTAGCTAGCTCCTAATGATTTTTATGATGTTGGTTGTTAAATTTCGCAAATCCAAACGGGAGTTACTTCGGAATTATTATAATATTATTATCATTATTATTCTCAATTCATGGATGACATGGTGTCAACCAATATTATGAATGAGGGCTACCAGCCATGGAATAAAAGAACAAGAAGAGGCAAAAATGCACACGCAAAATATGGCAAGTTAAATGAAAATGAAAATGAAATAAAAAGTAAATCAATCCAAAACCAAAATCAATTATAAAAATCAATCCAAAACCCAAATGAATTGTACAGGTAGCGTATGTGAATAACCAGGTAGCGAAGAACAGACTATTGCAGGAACCAAAATACACTTCTGACGGTGTTTCAAGCCATCATTTCCAAATCACGCAAAGCTCAATGGCAAGTGTTTTTCTCGAGCACTTCAGAGTTTTCAACAAGTTATCAGCGACTTTGTAGGTGTAGCTTCTGTGACATCCCCCCTGTTCGACTTGCAACTGCAATACTGCGACCGGTCAAGTCGTTGAATGACGCTTCGTCAGAACAATCACCGTTCCATTCTGAAACCGCTACATCGTGGCACTGCAGAAATTTCATGATTTGAAAACCAGATGGCTTCTACGGCATTATTTCGTGGAGAATGAACTAATAACAACGACGACTCGTTCATGGTATGAAAGGAAGTCTCGACCAAAGTTTTTTTTCTTTGCAGCAAGATAATGACAATCGCTTTTGCAGAGCCTCTTGGTAAGACATAGCCAGTTTGTAGGCATTATAGTCGTTCTCGTACGCATTCGACCGTCATATCATGCCAGTTTTCTACAACTACAAGTATATATTGACATGAAAAAGCTGAAAATAGTATGGACCCGCTGGGGTGGGTGTTTGCAGCGAAGTGGGCGTTTGCAGCGGACATTACGGTAGTAGAGTACTCTGCCACACTCTCACTGCAACTACAGGCATCCACGCTGGGGTCGATGATGGATCATGGAGGAAGCAACGACATCCTGCTATACAACTGTTTGAATTAGTTATCGATGTAAACTATAACTACTAGTAATAGGAATATTCAAATACATGTACACCCGTACTGTACTGATGCGCAGTGAATGTCCCCCAAATCCACGAGTGTACTTGACAGGAGACATTCAGCAGCCGGCCAGCGATACACAATAGCTCTACAGGTAGAAGCGAAGGTCGCTTCAACTCGGACAAGAACATCTAAAGTATTCATAGGACGTGCTGCATTTGCATTCTCTCCGCCACAGCGGAGCGTTGAGGAACACAGCACATGCATCATGTGGTCCGCAAAAGCGGCTGCAGTAGTTACGCCTTTCGCCCCCGCTAAACCGGTGCAAACGTTTCATGTGTGACCGCATGTGATCTTCGAATCTTTTGAGCCACACAAGTTGTGTGGAATGTTTCTTTGCGTTCTTGAATCGTGGTTTGACCGTATTGTCCAATGACCTTGCCAGTATCGTCATCGACATGCATGAACATCCGCCAACGTCCTTTACAGCTGAGACTTTCAGCTCCTGCTTATCTCGGTTGCCCTCACCTCCCCCCCCCCCCTTATGTTATTTCTATAACTTAGAACCTTCCAAGTTGGAAGGCTGTAGGAGTGCGCATCCAAGGCGTGCTAGAGCTGTTAGCCAGTTAGTTGTAGAACGTCAGTACCATCGGTCAGTGTTGTGCAATGTTATCGCATGAGCAGATTGTTTAGTAACTGGTGGTGTTAGTGGACAGTACAGCGTAACTTGTAGTTCCTTGGTCCTTTCTCTTTTTTATAAATTCATCCTTGGCTCTCCATCCGAGTCCATTTGAGCTTTTTGTGAAACTTTCTTTGGGATATTGGCATATTGCTCAAGCAGGTGCCCGAGTTTTCCCATATTGGTTTCTAGGCGCTTGGATAACAAGCGCCCACGTTCTGAAAGAATATGCACAGACTGATCCCAGATTTTTGAGGCATAGATGGTAGCGGCTTCTTCAAACTCTTTGAAACAAAAGGTTTGTACTTTTGAAACGCACCATAGACATAACCCTAAGGACGCAATTTATGCCTCACAAACCAACACAATGAAGATACATCTAAATATTATCATTGAGTGACTTACTGTATCCTTTGGAGTGCGCGAAAAGCACCAGAAGAAGCATCAACACACAGGTCTGAATCGCCTTCATCATCTTTCGTGCTGGACAAAAGACAGGACGAAGTGCAAGAATAATATTAACGTGTTGAATACTTGTACACGGCAGCATCTGTTGCTGGAGGCTTCCCCGACTAGCGTTCAGGACAGGCTCCACCCCTAGGAAACTCAAGATTATCGAGAAGCTGATAAATTCTGATCTGCCATACTGGCTTGAGAATGTTAACCAGAACAGCCATTGATTGACTCGGTTCGGTTCTTTTTTTCTTTTTTTCAAGGATTCGAAAAGGTACGCACGCGGTGACACAAAATGTAGAAATAACTTCGTGTGGCCTAACTTGTGCCCCCTCCCCCCCCCCCCTCTCTCTCTCCCTCTCTCTCTCTCCCTCTTTCCCTCTCTCTCTCTCTCTCTCTCTCTCTCTCTCTCTCTCTCTCTCTCTCTCTCTCTCCCTCCCCCTCTCTCCCTCTCTCCCTCTCTTCCTCTCTTCCTCTCTCCCGCTCTCTCTCTCTCTTTCTCTCTCTCTCTCCCTCTCTCTCTTTCTCTCTCTCTCCCCCTCTTTCTCTCTCTCCCTCTTTCCTTCTTTCTCTCTCCCTCTCTCCCTCTCTCCCTCTCTCCCTCAAAATAACTTGGTGTGGCCTAACTTGTGCCCCCCTCCCTCCCCTCTCTTCTCTCTCTCTCTCTCTCTCTCTCTCTCTCTCTCTCTCTCTCTTTCTTTCTCCCTCTCTCTCTCTCTCCCTCTTTCTCTCTCTCTCTCTCTCTCTCTCTCTCTCTCTCTCTCTCTCTCTCTCTCTCTCTCTCTCTCTCTCTCTCTCTCCCTCTCTCACTCTCTCTCTCTCTCTCTCTCTCTCTCTCCCTCTCTCTCTCTCCCTCTCTCTCCCTCTCTCTCTCCCTCTCTCTCTCTCCCTCTCTCTCCCTCTCTATCCCTCTGTCTCTCCCTCTCCCTCTCTCTCTCTCCCTCTCTCTCTCTCCCTCTCTCTCTCTCTCTCTCTCTCTCTCTCTCTCTCTCTCTCTCTCTCTCTCTTTCTCTCTCTCTCTCTCTCCCTCTCTCCCTCCCCTCCCTCCATCTTTCCCTGCAAAGCAACTCCACGCATTGTGACATTGAGCACTGAGCAGGCAGCTAAAGCAATCGACTCGAATAAACCGTACGGAAATGCACTGTACCTTTACTAGTAGATCCAGGTTCGGCCAGACGCTCAGAGCTCCGCTGATGAGACCTGACAAGTTCGAAACAAGTTCCCGAGTGCTCACCTTCTATCTTCACCAGCTAGCTTATATCGTATAGTTACTGACGATCGTACTCAGGCAGTTGCACACCACCTAGACTCGAGCTTCGTTCTCGCCCCGTCTTAGCGGTCGAGCGACCAGTTCATTACAGATGTCGTATCTACCCACGAGGCTAGATCGCCTTATTTATGTGTCTAATCATATATCTATCTCCCATAAACGGATTCATACCTGCCTTCATTTTATGTTTTTACACAAGGGCTGGTGCCTTCCTTATTTGATACACCCAGTTATTTCCTTTAATATCTGGCACACGCTCTTTGAGCTGTAGTTAAGGCCCCAACCGCACTAGGTAAAAAATACACGCATGTAAAAGGTGAAAGCATGTGTACATTACAGCCAGCAGCGCAGCCGCACTGCAAGTAAGTTGTATAGGCATTTTTCAGCCCAACTCCTAAAAAAACGTCTTGTGAGGCGCGGATTAGATTTCCTGTATGTGTCTTTGACGACTTATAGTACATACTGTATGTACGAAAAAGCGGCATATATAGTACATGCGTATATGTTTTACCTAATGCGGCGGCAGCCTTATGCCCAAAAGCTGAATATACTGACTGTCGGTAGAAAATACGATCCAAATATAATTATGTTTCAGCAAGTGTTAATTAAGTCCCGAACCCCTGTACTAGTATACGGTATAAATAGCTTTTTCCTCATGTAGACTACCGTATCTTTTGAATTTCCTGCACCTCATGCTCAACTCACGCGACGTTTTTTTGGAGTTTGGGCTGGAAAATGCATATACAACTAATGGTGCGTCTTATATTATTCTCTAGCTTCTCGGAGAAGAAGAAAACAGAAGTCGAAGTTACTGGTAGAATCAAGGAACGGGTCTGGAAGGATTCGGAGATATTTTTCACATGTCAAGCAATATCAAGCGCTAAAGGGGCCGCGATCTTGCGTGCCACGAATGTGGTGTGGTATGCACTGTGCGTATGCGTGCACTCATGGTCCACTTTTATTATTCAGTTCGCCGTGGTTGGCTACCATGTACCACCCGACTTCTCATATACTCTAATTTCAGAAATTTTCGGTGCTCAATATTTTCGGTATGAGGGCAAAAGGCCAGGTTAGGCGAACAGAAATTTTCGGTACAGAGAAGCAGTTCACTATTGGACTATGTGTGTTAGTGTTTGTTCGGTGTATTGAAATTTTAGGTATGAAACAGATGCACCGAAAGTACCGAAAATAAAAGTACACCGAAAATTTGTGAAATTACAGTACATGTATATTGGCAGTCTTCTGACGAGCCAGGAGATGTTGAATTAATAATAATAATAATAATAATAATAATATTAACTGGTTTTGAGGGAAAGAGAAAAACGGGAAAAGTCTGAAGAAAAAATTGACTGTCACCACCAGGACTCGAACCAGGGACCAATATATAATAATAATAATAATAATAATAATAACACGTGGCTTTTAGCCTAGTTCGCATGCGCTAAGCCCAAACCGCGGGAATCTCCAAGTTTCAACCACCCCCGAAGCTTGGAGAGCTCTGGAGAGCCTCCTAAAATTCGGAGAGGATATAAGAACAGCTCTCGAACTTTTCGGAGAGTCTCCTACTTTTCCGAGAGGATTTAAGAACGCACCCTACGGTTCTCACGCCGTACAAACTTCATTGCACTCGGCCACACGATATGTACATGTATAGGATATTGACCTCGACTTTGGTCTATATTTCCCATATAGACCAAAGTCGAGGTCAATATCCTATTTATCACGATTCCTTTGCCATAACCCCAAAATTTGAACCTTTAGGAGCTATTTTAACTAGGGCTGAAACGATCGTGAATTTTCACCTATCGATTTGTCTTTAGCTTAACGATCGATTAATCGATTATAATCGTAAGCAAGTAGTGGCAGAATTTTGTGAAAAATACTCTGTTTCCAAAAGCTAGGCCTTCGTAATACCAAAAATCTGCATTAGTGATAGGGTAGCTCCGAAACGTGGCAGTTTTGAAGCCAATTTAACATCAGAATATGCACCATGCCCCTGGCAATTGCATACTGACAGTGGAAACTGATTCAAACATCACAAAACGAGGGTTTTCAGTACTTTTTGCACTCAAAATCCCCAACGAGTAATCTATAAAATGGCAATAAATAAGATAAATTGTGCACTCATAACAACAGCAAAAATGAAGAAAGTCAAGTTCCATAACGTTTTCTTGTGACTGTCATCAGTGGAACGCTACATGTATATAAGTGTGTGTTTTAGTTACTCTAATTTCAGAAATTTTCGGTGCTGAATATTTTCGATATGAGGGCAATAGGCTAGGCTAGGTGAACAGCAATTTTCGGTACAGTCTAGCAGTTCCCTATTGGATTATGTGTGTTAGTGTTTGTTCGGTGTATTGAAATTTTAGGTGTGAAACAGACGCACCGAAAGTACCGAAAATAAAAGTACACCGAAAATTTGTGAAATTACAGTATTACATTTTTATGTGACGGCGTTCCACTGATGACAGTCACAAGAAAACGTTATGGAACTTGACTTTCTTCATTTTTGCTGTTGTTATGAGTGCACAATTTATCTTATTTATTGCCATTTTACGACTATTGTCTCCTCGTCGATTGAGTAATCTATAAGATAACGATTACTTGATTGAAACTCGGGTATTGAGCCAATAATAAAAGTAGAAAGGAAAAGGACATAATTATGGAAACGAGTTAAGAGTAACTCTCCACCACTGTAACTAGATACTATATACAGTCAGAAAGTCCCCCCCCCCCTTCTTAACTTATCTTTGATATTTTTGACCCACCCAAGTTGGGTGGTGTGCTGCTTTGCTGCTTCGAATTGTAGTTAGACCGCTTTGTCAAATCGGCTCCCAAGATAACACAGAGCCACTTCGATACTTTGTATTGCGGTGAAGCCACCATCGATAATATGGGGCGCAGAGGACAATTCGCGCGTTGTGGACAATACCAACAGAAAGAAGTTCGAGCAGGATCATGAGTCAGTGAGTGAAGCGGAGCTGGAGGAACAACTCCGCTCACGGGACGAGCAGCTAGCAAATGGGAGACAAGTGGTCTGTACAGAAACGGAGGATGAGACAGGTGATCAGAGGATAGAAGAGCAAGAAGAGCAATTGGATGACGAAACGGTTGGTGAGGAGACAGAGGACGAGGCAGAGGATGGTAGTGATGATGATCGTGAGGATGACGAGCGGAACGAGGAAGAGAGTGATGAGATGGACGAGGAGGAGTCGGGTGGGAAGGAGCGAGATGAGGCGGATGAATGTGTTGATCGTAAGAAGTCAGCTGTGTATCTACACTTGTTATCTCGTCCTGACTGTCTTAGTGTGTATGATGACTCTCATTTTTCTGTACTGTGTCGTGCGCGTTATGTCCAACAGTTGAAAGTCCTTGAGGCAGTCTGTATACGTATTCATAAGCCTGTTTTGTGTAAGCAGAAGGAGCACGTTGTTGCACTGAAGTTGTATTCGTAGGTTGACACTTCATTTAGCGCCTTCTCGCCTTTGGTTACGTAATCTTGTTACCTTTTTGTGTTTCCTCTAGTGGTTTTATTGCACTTGTATTTTGTTGTTATTTCTAACACATTTCTATTTACAGTACTTAAATTCAGTTTCTTTGGTTGTATCCTTAGTTCCGTATTTTTTCCCACTGATGATAGGAACAAGAAAATCCATTATGGGTTTTCAATAATATTTTTGTTATAAAATACACAGTAAATACATGTCGAACAAGTAACGTAGTTGCGTGATGTCTGCGGCCTTCATCCTATTCATAGCTGTATTTTATTTAGTAATGTTTTATGTATGAGAACACAGAGGTGGTACTTATGTCGAGTGGAAAGGGGACTGATCTTGGCAATTTCGTAAAGACTAGCGGAGGGAAAGCGACGATCTTTGCTAAATAAGATTTTAAGGAGCATGCGGTTATGGGTTTCTAGCTTGTTCAATACAGTAGTAGTTATGCCAGACCAAGCAGTATCACAGTAGTCAAGTAAGGGCAATATATAGCAACGATAAAACAAGCGTTTGCAAGAAAGAGGAAGATGTCTCGTAACGAAGCACAGAAGAAACGGGCCTATCTACAACGTGTGATTGATGTTGAGCGAGGCACCTTCACACCTTTGGTTTTCGCGACCAATGGTATGTGCGCTTCCGAATGTTCCCGTGCTCTAAAGAACATTGTTCAGCTCATTGTCGAGAAGCAGCCAGAGCTTAGTTATGCAATGGTAATGTCGCATTTGCGCTGCAGGATCTCTTTTATTTTGCTCCGCTGGCTGATTACTTGCTTTCGTGGGTGCAGAGCTTCATACTGCCGAAAGCGTGTAGCAATTTCATTCCTGGACCAATGCCGTTTGCTCCAGTTGTGAGTGGGAATATAATTATAAGGCCCTCCATGTGCTGTGCGCGGAGGCCTTCGGTTAATTTCAATATCTTCCTTTTTGGCCGGCTTTCCAAGTTGCGCTATTGTGAATAATGATCTGCTTTGATAGTAGTGACTGCTAATAATTGCCTGGATTTGACTCGAGTTTGGATTTTTCTGCAATCATCTTTCCGATCACATTACCATAGATTTTCAATAAAGTTCTTTGACTACTACTACTACTACTACTACTACTACTACTACTACTACTACTACTGAAATGTGTTTTTATTGAAAGCACAAAGCAATGAAGATGTGAATGCAAGGAGGGCAATGAATTCAAAAGGCGAACAGCACAATTGTAACAAAATAGAAAGATAACAAATATTAATGGCAACAGCAATGTTTATACATGAAAAAGGGGAAGGAAAAGGAAAGAAAAACATCCAAACCAGAACTGCTTGAACACCGCCAGAAATGAAACCGAGATTCATACAAAAGAAAAAACTTCAGGACACCGGAAAACAAACTTTAGATCACATTTTGACATTATACGAGATGATGACAACGAAAAACTATGCCCTAGAGAGCACACGGCAGTCATTCACAAAGCTCGCCGAGCGCTTAGAGCGATAGGAGGACCTGGAGCCACGTAAACAGGTGATACACCAGCGAAGTAGGCAGAATGACAAACGGCATCGCAAATGATTGACAACAACAGAATACACCAAATCAGCATTTTTCTCTAGAATACGGCCAACCAATGCCTTCAAAAACACGGAACACTCCTTCCCTATCATGCCGTTGGTCGCAAATACCAGAGGGGTGAATGTGCCCCGATCGATCTGATTCACTCGCTCTGCGTAATGCCGCTTTTTTTCCCGCTCATTGCGCTCCAATTGGCTCATGGCTTTTTCACGAGACAGCAAGGTGGCCCTGGGATGCGTTACCCGGATATCGAAGAAGGCCTCCTGCTGCCGCGTCCAAAAGCCACGAGCCCTGACGTCAAGCCGCGCTTCCTGGGATCGGTTAGATGTTGACCATGCCAATGTCTCACCACCAAATGGGAGAAGGTTGGGCTCGATTGCCACATCGGGACTTACACTTCTGAGTAGCTCAGCGATGAGATCACGTATCTCATTATGCCTTGCGGTGGGATAGCCACCACAAGGGCACACCATGGCATGGTCAGTCGACAAGTTAGCTCCGCATACACAGTTCGTTGGAAGACCATCAAGCGGTAGACCGTACCGAAGCGCCACAGCATCTCGAAAATCTGATTTGTTAAGTGTTGTGCCATGGGCGGACCTTGGTTCAACAGTCAGCCAGGCGGACACGCCCTTCTCACCAGCTATCTCCACCAAGAATCGCTGATCTGCCGTCAGGTGATCATGTACTGTGGCCAGGATCTCTATGTCCCTAGCGTCTCTCTTCTTCTTGCCTTCTCTTAAACGCTAGCGAGTCTCCATCACAGCCTCGCTAACGCTAGCATCGCGTGACGGAATTTCCATTGAAGCTGACGGTGGCCGGTGCGGAAGCCATGATGAGGTGAGAGACTCATCAGCGGTTTCATTGTTGACTGTGTGACGCGGCGGACGCAGTGAGAGCCAAATCTCTGACGCATCACCTCCATCCAGAGAACGAACATCACCGCGCTCCCGGTCAGCAGAGACAATATCCACCGACCCAGAATTCAGCGGCATAGCTTCCACGTTAGTAGTAGGGACCAAGCCGGTTCTGGTGCAAAGTCGACCTTTGACCTTTTGTGAATGGGTACTTGAACTCTGTGGTTGTTAATTAAGTGGCCACTTGACCTTTTAATTGGATAAATGGTAATGAAGTGGCCACTTGAGATCTGAAGTGGTTTTGAAGTGGGCCAGGTGTTATATTTAATTGGATTAATGACTAAGTGGTGTTTGAAGTGCCTCTCGGCGACATAAGTGCTTTTAAAGTGGTGGGTGTGGTTGTTAATAAGAGTCACTGTCTGGGAATGTGTTCTGAAATGGAATCACATCACATCGGCGATATCCGAATCGAGGCCACTATCATAGTCTTGTCCATCAGCCATCTTCTTCCGCCATATATTACATCACAGTCCAGCAGATACACAAACACACACACACAAATATGTTATGAGTAATCGTTCTAGAAACTTCTTTTTTTACCTTTGTATGAGTAATCTTTCAAGTATGTTCATTCGTAGACACTTGTCTAGAACAAGAAGTGGGCAATTCGTTATCTAGATCAAAGTGACTTGACAGACAAGAGTAATGGCACAAGTATGTCATGGAAACTTCTAGACTACATCAAAAACCAGTTCTCTAAGCAGTTGATCACTCAATACTTTGAAAGACTACATGATTGTACTACCACATAATATAATTTAACAATCAGCAGCAGCAACAACAACAACAACAACACGCACATCATCATCATCATCATAGCACTGTCACTTACCGCTATTGCAGATGATGTCTTTTTTGTCAAGTCCTTGATTGCTTCTTCGTTTTTTCCTCCAACTCTTCTACCGTCACTGTCTGTCAAACACCAGTGCTTCACCCTTGCTCCTTATATACACCTCTTGAATGCTATTATACAATGCACTTTCTCGATCAGCTATTATGGTATAGCAAGTCCATCACCACTGCAGCTGACCTAGAATTGAATTACCCGTCGAAAGTTCTGGAACCTAAATTTAAATTTCAATTGTAATGCTACGTAGTGGAGGTACAACTGAAAAACAATGCATTTCCCACCAATTGATCAGACATGTAGGTTGATACGGTTGAAAGCACCTTTAGCGGCGGTAATTGTATGTCACAGAAACATCTCGAAGATCGCACCCGTCGAAAGTTCTGGAACGTAAATTTCAATTTCAATTGTAATGGTAGGTAGTGGAGGTACAACTGAAAAACAATGCATTTCTTACCAATAGATCAGACATGTAAGTTGATAGGGTTGAAAGCACTTTTAGCGGCGGTATTTGTATTACAAAGAAACATCTCGAACATCGATGCAAAAAGAACCTGTCAATAGCATGCACTCTGTACTGCATTCTACCAACTCTCATTGCACACTCCACACAGTATATAAACCGCAGCTCACACCCGCAACTGTATCACAGGTTGGTGAAACAGTGCTACCGCTACTCCTTTGAAACATGAAGCGGATGCATAGTTCAAGCGGCGGTGGCGGTGGTGAAAGTGATGTGGGAGTTGGTGAGGATGACAGCTCTTCACCCCCAAAATTGAGAAAAGAATCCGCACTTACTTTGACTCGTACAGCTCCTCGTGGATTCTTGAGAGAGTATAGAGCCAGTTTCATAGACGTGCAGAAGGATGTTCTTGGCGTTCTCAACGATCTATCGCCAGATCTGTATGAAACAATGGTGCACGAGCTAGGCATCCAGCCGTTCAAAGCTGTACTGGTTCTTTGTGTCACTGTTGAGAAGCCCAATGCCGCAGGTGCAATCGTCTACGCCTCTCCATTTTTCCGAAGCCGGCCTATGACTGTGCTGAACGTGAGCAACATTCCAGGTCTACTAACCGCCGCCTTCGACGGGATCACTGCAAAGGTGGACGCTTGGGTGCAAGGTGGTTCAGGCTGGGCTGTGAGTAATGTGAAAACTGCACATCTTGATATTTGCAAGTATCGTCCAATGCGCATGTCGTCGTACCTTCCTCTACCTAAAAAGTTAGCTTCGTCAAAGGCCATCATCAATGTGAAGAATGACGACGAGCAGTGTCTGAAGTGGGCTCTTCTGTCTGCCCTGCATCCAGCTGTGCAAAATGCAGAACGTGTGAGCAAATATGCGCAGTATTCGCAGAGTCTCAACTTTGACGGTGTAGAGTTCCCTGCAACCATAGATGATGTGTACAGGGTGGAGAAGGCCAACTCGCTAAACATCAACGTGTTTGCATTTGAAGAAAACCATAATTATCATTCCCATAAAGTTATCAGGTAGTGACAATGCAATAAATCTCCTGATCCTGCAAGATGATCTCCTTAGCCATTACTGTTGGATAAAGGACTTAAGCGCTCTATGTGCCAGCCAGACAAAGTCCCAACACAAGAGGTTCTTCTGCATGCGATGCCTCTCCGCATATCGCAGCGATACCACTCTGAAGAAGCATCAACTATACTGCAGCGATGTGAAGGCAGCGACAGTCCAGATGCCAAAAGCAGACGAGCAGCTCAAGTTCACGGACATACAGCGGAAGATGAAAATGCCGTATGTGATCTATGCCGATACTGAGTGTCTGCTGAAAGCAACGTCTCCAGAGCGCCATGGGAAGCAAACTGTTCGTGAAGCTGAACACGTGCCATGCGCAGTATCGTATGTCGTCGTACGCTCTGATGGTGTACTGAAGAACACTTTCATGTTCAGAGGTGAGTCCTTCAGCATAACTAATTAAATGTACTGCTCAATGTGTGTGTGTGTGTGTGTGTGTGTGTGTGTGTGTGTGTGTGTGTGTGTGTGTGTGTGTGTGTGTGTGTCTGTGTGTGTGTGTGTGTGTGTGTGTGTAAATGTGAAATATCAGCGTTAATCGTATACCCAGTCGTTAAATCTTTATTCTCACAATATCCAGTGGTCAATAAGAGAGATAATATTTTATGAAAAAAAAGAGGAAAGAGTGAGGAATAATTTGTTGTTGTTGTTGTTGTTTTTGTTCTTTCTACTTTTGTATATGTAGGAGATGATCCGATTGAAAAGCTTTTCGAAGAGCTGTCCAAGGAGGAAGAGCGCATAGAGGAAGACCTGAAGAACATACGTCCTATCATCATCACGGATGATGGAGAGGTGCAGTTCCGCAATGCCGCAGAGTGCTGGATCTGTGGCAAGAAACTGAAGGGTGCTGATCGAGTGCGCGACCACGACCACCTCACCGGACTGTACAGAGGAGCTGCACACAACGCCTGCAATTTGAAGTTCCGCATCGTGCCAGAGCACCATCCCATCCCCGTTGTATTTCACAACCTGAAAGGGTATGATGGACATCTCCTGATATCCAGCATCGGCCTCACGTCCATGAACACTGAGGAGTACATTGACAGACAAGGACGGCGTCGAAGCAAGGTGAAGGGGCGTGTTACTGTCATACCCAACAATATGGAGCGGTATGTGTCATTCTCGTGGGGGAGATTCAGATTCATTGACAGTCTTTCCTTTCTGAACGCATCGCTGGACAAGCTAGTGAGCAACACGCCTCGCGACTCGTTCTTTCATCTCAAGTCCCTGGCTTCGTCGTACAGCAACAACGCCACGGGCAGCAACGTCACGGGTAGCAACGCCACGGGCAGCAGCAGCAGCAGCACCACCACCACCAGCAGCACCACCACCACCACGACCAGCAGCACCACCAGCAGCACCACCAGCAGCACCAGCAGCAGCAGCAGTGCACCAGGCTCGTCTAGCAATACCCTGCTGGATCTCCTGCATCGCAAAGGTGTCTATCCCTACGAATACATGAACAGCAGCGCTAGGTTTTCCGAGACTGGTCTTCCTGCAAAGGAAGACTTTTACTCACGCCTCTCAGAGTGCCACATCAGCGATGAGGACTACTGCCATGCCCAGCGTGTGTGGACTGCATTCGGCTGCAGCGACATGGGCGACTACCATGATCTCTATCTGAAGACCGATGTGCACCTTCTTGCAGATGTGTTTGAGAAATTTAGATGCACTGCAATGGCCACGTACGATTTGGACCCGACACACTACTACACCCTGCCTGGATTCGCGTGGGACGCCCTTCTGAAACATACAGGAATTTCGCGAGGTATTGAAGATATAGGTGGGTTTGAGGACCCGCAGTATTCTGAGTAGCAGTCGTAGAAACAAGAGTAGCTTGTTTCACGTCGGAACTTTCAATGTTCGTGGACTAAATTCAAATTTGAAAAAGAATCAACTTATTTGTGACCTAACAAGATATGGAGCTGAACTCTGCTGCCTGCAAGAGACGAAAATCTCTCAGGGCTTCGATGGAATTATTGATAATTATCGACTCCTGTGTCTTTCGTCGACCTCTCGACACTATGGACTTGGATTCGCCGTAAAAATAAGTTTACTGCCCCGAATTCACAGATACTGGAGTATCTCTGACCGGATCGCTGTGCTGCAGCTATGGCTATCCGATAGAACTCTGTGCTCGTTTATCAACGTTTATGCACCAACATCTGGACGCGTTGCGGAGGACCCTGCCTGTCTGGATGAATTCTACAACAGTTTATTGGAGACAATTCAGAAGCTTCGATCATCAGCCATGCTTTTCGTGATAGGTGATTTCAATGCAAAAGTTGGAAAACGTTCCGTTACAGCTACGGGGAGACATGATTTGTCGTGCTGCGGAGCACACTCAAGAGGCCGCCGCAATTACAGTGGACAGGTTCTGACTGACTTTGCGTCGGACAACCACCTGTTTGCTTGCAACACTGCATTCCAACACCGTGCGGCACATATCACAACATGGACAGGATGGCGTCACAACCCAGACGGTGGTTCAGCAATACCCATATACAACCAGATCGATTATATATTCTGTCGGAATAGTGAGCGTTCTGTGGTGGAAGATGCGAGGTCATATGCGGGGACAAAGATGGAGAGTGACCACCGCCTTGTCCTCGCTAAAGTCAACCTGACCAATCTTTACAAGAAATTGAATGCGCCATGCATATCAAGGGAGACCAATGACAAATTCAGTGTATCTGAATTCAGTGACTTGAGCAAGAGGGAGGCATACCAAGCGGCAATCGAGCGGGGTCTGGAATTGACATGCCGTGAGATGGACAACATGGGTGTTGAGGAGCATGCCCGGAAGATCACCGGCATTATGAAGGAGTCAGCTGCATCATCCATTGGCATAGTACCAAAAAGAAGAAAAGTACATACAAATGGCTATAACAATGCCATTGAACAGCTAGCCGAGAAAAAACGCAAGTTACGTTTGGATCTCACTAACTGCAAAGACGCTGGGAAGATTTCTGAGATGAAGCAAGAACGCAATCGCATTTCACACCAGATTCGGCGGGAATGCCTCAAGATGGCATCGAGCAGGCTTGATGAACGAGTGGGAGAAATAGGAAGAATAAAGAATGACGCAAAGATGTTCAAAGCAACCCAGCTACTCCGTCGTCAGAAACAATCACCGGTTATCGTTGAGGATGCTGAAGGCAAAATTATATCTCAACCTGCGGAATCGGTGGAAGCGGTCAAGGAACACTTCAGAACTATATTCTGCGACCAGGCACTAGCAACAACTATGTTGGAGAGGAGTGAAATGCCACTGAACCGATCCATAACGACTGAGGAGGTGTCCAAGGCTGCAAAACGTTTAAATAACGGCAGAGCATCCGGCCCCGATGGAATCCCGGCTGAGCTCCTGAAGTATGGGACGCAATCACTGCATGGTAACATAGCCACATTATTCAATAATTACGCTAAAGATCAACGCATCCAGCTTGGTGATGGTATATTGGTCCCGTTGCCGAAACCGGGCAAGAAGAGAGGTCCTCCTGCAAATTTGCGGCCAGTCACCCTTCTAAATACACTACGCAAGCTACTGTCTCTAATCGTATTGACGCGTATTAAGCCGGCAGTTGATCAATACCTCTCGCCCTGCCAGAGCGGATTTCGCAGCGGGAGAAGTACAGCGGATGCTGTGTACTCCTACAGATGGTTGGCAGCAAGATGCCAAAGAGTAAAGGAAGATATCGCCATTTTGGGAATTGATATGTCGAAAGCCTTTGACACTATTTCAAGACCAAAGCTCATGAACGTGCTGGAGACTATTGTGAACCGGGACGAATTACATCTTATTCAGTGCTTACTTACGGATACCACCATTAAAGTACGGCTAAACAACATCCTGAGCCAGCCACTTGAAACATACAATGGGACTCCACAGGGAGATTCTCTGTCGCCGGTATTGTTTACGATATACCTGGAAGCTGCGTTAAGAGAAGTACGAAACCGTCTACCGCCGCGACCAGACCGAGACGTCCAGCTGCTTCTGCCCGGAGAGTCGGAATATGCAGATGATGTGGACTTCATCAGTACCGACCAACAGTATCTAAAAGATTGCCTTCCTACAATATCCTCTTCGTTAGCAGAGTGGAACTTGAAGATGAATGAGGGGAAGACGGAACACACCATGATAAGCAGACAAAAGGATCGAATAGAGGAACAGTGGCGACACACAATAAAGCTGGGCTCGATGCTTGGAGTGGATGAGGACATAGGCAGACGAAAGCGGTTGGCTACAAGCGCACTTCACCGGATGTGGGTGATATGGCTGAGAGGGCAACACATCAGAGAGTCTCTACGAGTGCGCCTCTATAATAGCTTCATTCTACCAATCCTGCTTTATAACTGTGGCACGTGGAGTCTCACGGGGACACAGGAGCGGAAATTGGACTCTTTCCACAGGCAGCAGCTGCGAACAGTGATAGGCATTAAATACCCGCTCATAATAAAGAACACTTCCCTGTATAAACGCACAGAATCTCGTCCCGTGAGCCAAATCATCAGAGATGCTAGATGGAGGCTGTTTGGTCATGTGCTGCGTTTGGAAGAGGCAGCCCCAGCCAGACGTGTCATGGGAGCTTACTTCTTAGGGGGTAACGGCCCCAGCTTTAGGGGACGCCCAAGAACAACGCTCCCGCGAACGCTCAATAATGATCTCAAAAAGCTGAAAAATAATACCGCCCTAGAGACTGGCGATGACTTGAACATGCTGCAGCAGCTTGCCCAAGACCGTCGACAGTGGCGGGAACTGGTGAAGGCTGTATGTAGCTGCTAATGAAACAATGGACATAATTTATACCTTTATATATAGATAATGGAGATGACTGCAACAGGCTGCAGCAGCTCGCCCAGGATCGCCCTCAGTGGCAGGACCTGGTGAAGGTTGTATGTAGCCGCTAATGCAACAATGGACATAACTTTGCGTTTCCATCTTGTCTTTTTTGTGATTGTGATGCTTGATGTGCACTGTGCTTCCTCGCATTCACTTGCTCCTTCTTGCAGCTTGTCTCTTTTTTTTCTGTTTTTTTGTTTTTTGTTTTGTTTTGACGCTCTGTGTGCATTGCGCTTCCTCGCGCTCACTTGCTCCTTCTTGCGGCTTAAGCGAAGGCTATATGTGAGCTTTATAAGCTCACTGATGCTAACGCGAATAGAGCATAATAATAATTGAAGATATGTTGACGCCTGCTCAGGGTCGTGTGAGCTCATGTACTTGTTGTTCGCCCTGGCGTGGCGGTGTGACGCCATTGTAACACCGCCACGAAGACCGCGCTCGACGAACAGATGCATGTCCACGTCGTCCAGCAGAGTGAGCGAAATTCCTGTATGTTTCAGAAGGGCGTCCCACGCGAATCCAGGCAGGGTGTAGTAGTGTGTCGGGTCCAAATCGTACGTGGCCATTGCAGTGCATCTAAATTTCTCAAACACATCTGCAAGAAGGTGCACATCGGTCTTCAGATAGAGATCATGGTAGTCGCCCATGTCGCTGCAGCCGAATGCAGTCCACACACGCTGGGCATGGCAGTAGTCCTCATCGCTGATGTGGCACTCTGAGAGGCGTGAGTAAAAGTCTTCCTTTGCAGGAAGACCAGTCTCGGAAAACCTAGCGCTGCTGTTCATGTATTCGTAGGGATAGACACCTTTGCGATGCAGGAGATCCAGCAGGGTATTGCTAGACGAGCCTGGTGCACTGCTGCTGCTGCTGGTGCTGCTGGTGGTGCTGCTGGTGGTGCTGCTGGTGGTGCTGCTGGTGGTGGTGGTGCTGCTGCTGCTGCTGCCCGTGGCGTTGCTACCCGTGACGTTGCTGCCCGTGGCGTTGTTGCTGTACGACGAAGCCAGGGACTTGAGATGAAAGAACGAGTCGCGAGGCGTGTTGCTCACTAGCTTGTCCAGCGATGCGTTCAGAAAGGAAAGACTGTCAATGAATCTGAATCTCCCCCACGAGAATGACACATACCGCTCCATATTGTTGGGTATGACAGTAACACGCCCCTTCACCTTGCTTCGACGCCGTCCTTGTCTGTCAATGTACTCCTCAGTGTTCATGGACGTGAGGCCGATGCTGGATATCAGGAGATGTCCATCATACCCTTTCAGGTTGTGAAATACAACGGGGATGGGATGGTGCTCTGGCACGATGCGGAACTTCAAATTGCAGGCGTTGTGTGCAGCTCCTCTGTACAGTCCGGTGAGGTGGTCGTGGTCGCGCACTCGATCAGCACCCTTCAGTTTCTTGCCACAGATCCAGCACTCTGCGGCATTGCGGAACTGCACCTCTCCATCATCCGTGATGATGATAGGACGTATGTTCTTCAGGTCTTCCTCTATGCGCTCTTCCTCCTTGGACAGCTCTTCGAAAAGCTTTTCAATCGGATCATCTCCTACATATACAAAAGTAGAAAGAACAAAAACAACAACAACAACAACAAATTATTCCTCACTCTTTCCTCTTTTTTTTCATAAAATATTATCTCTCTTATTGACCACTGGATATTGTGAGAATAAAGATTTAACGACTGGGTATACGATTAACGCTGATAATTCACATTTACACACACACACACACACACACACACAGACACACACACACACACACACACACACACACATTGAGCAGTACATTTAATTAGTTATGCTGAAGGACTCACCTCTGAACATGAAAGTGTTCTTCAGTACACCATCAGAGCGTACGACGACATACGATACTGCGCATGGCACGTGTTCAGCTTCACGAACAGTTTGCTTCCCATGGCGCTCTGGAGACGTTGCTTTCAGCAGACACTCAGTATCGGCATAGATCACATACGGCATTTTCATCTTCCGCTGTATGTCCGTGAACTTGAGCTGCTCGTCTGCTTTTGGCATCTGGACTGTCGCTTCCTTCACATCGCTGCAGTATAGTTGATGCTTCTTCAGAGTGGTATCGCTGCGATGTGCGGAGAGGCATCGCATGCAGAAGAACCTCTTGTGTTGGGACTTTGTCTGGCTGGCACATAGAGCGCTTAAGTCCTTTATCCAACAGTAATGGCTAAGGAGATCATCTTGCAGGATCAGGAGATTTATTGCATTGTCACTACCTGATAACTTTATGGGAATGATGTGGTTTTCTTCAAATGCAAACACGTTGATGTTTAGCGAGTTGGCCTTCTCCACCCTGTACACATCATCTATGGTTGCAGGGAACTCTACACCGTCAAAGTTGAGACTCTGCGAATACTGCGCATATTTGCTCACACGTTCTGCATTTTGCACAGCTGGATGCAGGGCAGACAGAAGAGCCCACTTCAGACACTGCTCGTCGTCATTCTTCACATTGATGATGGCCTTTGACGAAGCTAACTTTTTAGGTAGAGGAAGGTACGACGACATGCGCATTGGACGATACTTGCAAATATCAAGATGTGCAGTTTTCACATTACTCACAGCCCAGCCTGAACCACCTTGCACCCAAGCGTCCACCTTTGCAGTGATCCCGTCGAAGGCGGCGGTTAGTAGACCTGGAATGTTGCTCACGTTCAGCACAGTCATAGGCCGGCTTCGGAAAAATGGAGAGGCGTAGACGATTGCACCTGCGGCATTGGGCTTCTCAACAGTGACACAAAGAACCAGTACAGCTTTGAACGGCTGGATGCCTAGCTCGTGCACCATTGTTTCATACAGATCTGGCGATAGATCGTTGAGAACGCCAAGAACATCCTTCTGCACGTCTATGAAACTGGCTCTATACTCTCTCAAGAATCCACGAGGAGCTGTACGAGTCAAAGTAAGTGCGGATTCTTTTCTCAATTTTGGGGGTGAAGAGCTGTCATCCTCACCAACTCCCACATCACTTTCACCACCGCCACCGCCGCTTGAACTATGCATCCGCTTCATGTTTCAAAGGAGTAGCGGTAGCACTGTTTCACCAACCTGTGATACAGTTGCGGGTGTGAGCTGCGGTTTATATACTGTGTGGAGTGTGCAATGAGAGTTGGTAGAATGCAGTACAGAGTGCATGCTATTGACAGGTTCTTTTTGCATCGATGTTCGAGATGTTTCTTTGTAATACAAATACCGCCGCTAAAAGTGCTTTCAACCCTATCAACTTACATGTCTGATCTATTGGTAAGAAATGCATTGTTTTTCAGTTGTACCTCCACTACCTACCATTACAATTGAAATTGAAATTTACGTTCCAGAACTTTCGACGGGTGCGATCTTCGAGATGTTTCTGTGACATACAATTACCGCCGCTAAAGGTGCTTTCAACCGTATCAACCTACATGTCTGATCAATTGGTGGGAAATGCATTGTTTTTCAGTTGTACCTCCACTACGTAGCATTACAATTGAAATTTAAATTTAGGTTCCAGAACTTTCGACGGGTAATTCAATTCTAGGTCAGCTGCAGTGGTGATGGACTTGCTATACCATAATAGCTGATCGAGAAAGTGCATTGTATAATAGCATTCAAGAGGTGTATATAAGGAGCAAGGGTGAAGCACTGGTGTTTGACAGACAGTGACGGTAGAAGAGTTGGAGGAAAAAACGAAGAAGCAATCAAGGACTTGACAAAAAAGACATCATCTGCAATAGCGGTAAGTGACAGTGCTATGATGATGATGATGATGTGCGTGTTGTTGTTGTTGTTGTTGCTGCTGCTGATTGTTAAATTATATTATGTGGTAGTACAATCATGTAGTCTTTCAAAGTATTGAGTGATCAACTGCTTAGAGAACTGGTTTTTGATGTAGTCTAGAAGTTTCCATGACATACTTGTGCCATTACTCTTGTCTGTCAAGTCACTTTGATCTAGATAACGAATTTCCCACTTCTTGTTCTAGACAAGTGTCTACGAATGAACATACTTGAAAGATTACTCATACAAAGGTAAAAAAAGAAGTTTCTAGAACGATTACTCATAACATATTTGTGTGTGTGTGTTTGTGTATCTGCTGGACTGTGATGTAATATATGGCGGAAGAAGATGGCTGATGGACAAGACTATGATAGTGGCCTCGATTCGGATATCGCCGATGTGATGTGATTCCATTTCAGAACACATTCCCAGACAGTGACTCTTATTAACAACCACACCCACCACTTTAAAAGCACTTATGTCGCCGAGAGGCACTTCAAACACCACTTAGTCATTAATCCAATTAAATATGACACCTGGCCCACTTCAAAACCACTTCAGATCTCAAGTGGCCACTTCATTACCATTTATCCAATTAAAAGGTCAAGTGGCCACTTAATTAACAACCACAGAGTTCAAGTACCCATTCACAAAAGGTCAAAGGTCGACTTTGCACCAGAACCGGCTTGGTCCCTACTACTCACGTTGTTGATGTTAGTTACTGAGTTCCGCTCCACTGCCTCTCCGGACGATTCCTCATCCGCCAATTCGACCTCGGCCAACTCCTCAGCTGCATCTGGCCGGCTCGCAGCCGTTCGCGTGCTATCGGCAGCAAGCTGTGGCACGGCTGCCTCAATTATTGGGCGCACGGCTTCGGTACACTGCGAATACTCACCCTCACATAATGGTGCAACTGGGGGGATGCCTAGCCCGCCACGGCGGCATGGAAGTCCCATAAGCTGACGAAGGGGATCGTCACTGCTTAGAGACACACCAGCAATGGCAGGCAGCAGGGAATTATTAATTGCATCATCCAATCTAGTAAATAGGTCGGGAGAGCAATTTACGGCCCGAAGGCAATAACGCCAGCGCGAAATAATGCTGCGCACAAGCACAGTATATGCAGCATGTGGCTGAGTAGTGGCGAGTTCGGAAAGGTGCTCGACTTGGCGAACCCACTTATCAACCTTGCCCGATACAAATGTGTGCAGGAATCTCTCAGACCCAAGGGCGCCACCAAGATAAATGCAACCATCCGTAACAATTCTCACCCCAGTCCCAGCGAATAATTCCTGCGCTGCGTGCTCGAGAGATGGCTTCACGAGAAGAACTGTCTTCTCCGGATTGGGGTGGTACCCATAGTCGGGTCCCAGCTGCAATAACTTAGACCAGTAAAGGGATGCGGCTTGAAGGGTGCCAGCAGCGGAATCATCATCAGCGTACCACAGCTGGGTGGTGTTTGGACATTCGTGTGAAAGTTTGTTTATGAGAGGCATAACAGCAACAGCGTAAATGGCCATCGCAAGGGGGTCACCCTGGCACGTCCCCTCACGGGAAAGAAGTTCGCCCCCACCCGCTACGAAGAGGCGGCATGGCGCGCCATACGTGTTCTTGAACACCTGACCTAAAGCAGGACAGAGAGCGGGAACATTGTGCAGGGCAGCATTCCTATTTAGAGAATTGAATGCATTAGATGCATCTATTAGCAGCACGGCTTCGGTTTCAGGAAGACCAAAAACCCCTGCCATTGCCTGAACGGCAGCCTCGCAAGCAGCTGGCATGCCAACGCAAAGTTGGCGCGGGGCAGTCGCAGCTCTGACGTCGCTTTCGATCACCTTCATTATCGCTCGCCCTATAATCCTCCTAAACACCTCCCCAACAGCTATGGGTCTAACACCTGGGGATTTATCAAGGGGGATCAGGCGAGCGGCAGTGAATGCATCCATGAAACTCGGCTCGATATTCGCAGTACACAATAAGCGTGCCGAATCCGCCAATGCAGTGCAAAGTCGGTTGGAAGCTGGGCCGAAGCACGTTAGCATCCTGGTCCAGGCCTCCGAGTCTAGTCCGGACGGACCAGCGGCACCCTTCATGGACCTGCTCACAAACTTGATGAGGCTTGGCGTGATGCGCTCGAAGAGTATTGGGTTCACCCGCTGTGAGTCGGTCGGCGCCACCAATGAGCCAGGAACCGCCGGTGAGGGAGACGGGTGCTTGTCATGCAGTACCTCAGGCACAGTCTTTTCACCACCGGCCGAGTCCTCCATCCCGAGCACTGAGCCAGGTGAGTCATCACCTACCATCCTCGCTGCAGAGTGAACCTTCCCTGCGAATACTCGTCGACTGAAGGTTGTATCGTTCACTGTATCAGGCAGTTTCTGGCGACGCTTCCCAGCGGGTAGGTGCGCTTGAATAAACCTGGCTTCGTCCAGGATGTCCTCAAGCCTGCCACATGACCACGATTTCATACGTCGCGTGATGTGGGTTGCATTCTCAGCAGCCCGGGACTCCGGGTGAGGTCGCTGTAATAGTAGCTGGCACGCAACCGTTACCGCTGTCCAAGAGATGGGACGAAGTGGCGAGTCAGCGGCAAACGCTGATATTAAGCGGGCCAATTCATTCACAAACGAAGACCCGGCTGAACCATACGGAATCATTACCAGATTCCTCTCCCACTGCACACATTCGTTGTATACGTCTTGGAAGCAAGCTTGTATGTCATCCGCCGGACTGTTCCATATGTTTTCGTCGAAACTATGCTGAGAATCGTCCAGACCGGCCAAGAGCAATGTTGTATCTCCTACTACTACTACTACTACTACTACTACTACTACTACTACTACTACTACTACTACTACTACTACTACTACTACTACTACTACTACTACTACTACTACTACTACTACTACTACTACTACTACTACTACTACTACTACTACTACTACTACTACTACTACTACTACTACTACTACTACTACTACTACTACTACTACTTTGAAGCCTTTTCAATTACTTTCTTTGTGACATGTGGAGTCGGCTCGAGTAGTTTGCTTCCTTCTGGGCTCGTCCGGCCCGCCAGTCCTTCATTCAGCTGGTTTCTTGCCCTGCGAATCGGCCATTATAGCCGTTGGTCCGTGCTGGGCACGTTTGAGCGTGCGGGCCTTGGGCCCTGTTTGAGCTGGCTTGCTGTGCTGTGCACACGTTGTGGTTTGGCCCTGTGTACTGCCTGCAATGGCGCTCTGGATGCATACTTGGTATGGGACGAGTCGAGGTGACACTACTCATTGCATGTAGACGCACTGTTTACACCTGAGGCTGGGGCTAGGTCTTTGCATGCAGTGTGCCCGTGCTGTGTCTATGGGATGTCGCGGTCACGCGCTGTGAGCGGTCGACCGTGCTGCGCTTGCAGCAGAGCGTCTGGGACTTGCAAGTCATGTTCGTGTGCGTCGGATGGACGATGCTGCAGCAATTGTTACCCTGGCAGAGACAATAAATGTACGAATTTTGGCAACGTGAATCTGCAGACCGCAGTTGTTGGAATGGGTGTGGACGAATCGTTGTGTAGCGCTCCACCTTTTCGACCTCCTGGCTGGGTGCCCCATGGTTCCCGGGATGTGTTGGGCTCTGTTCCTCCGCCATGTGGCTCACACTCTCGCACAATAGCAACTCGGAGCTCTGCCTCGGCGGTGACGGCTGGGTTTGCGCCAAGTTCCGGACATCGGTCTTCCCGTGATGACGCATTAGGAGATCCTCAGGTGTCTGTTCCTGCCTCTGCATCTGCGCTGCCTCGCCGCGGCATGGTTGGGCATGTACCAAGTTCCGGGCCTCAGTCTTCCCGGGATCGAACAACAGGAGATACTCATGCGTCTGCTCCTGCGCCTGCGCCGGTGTCTTCGGAGTGTTTGCGTGTGGATCTGCCGCCCCCACGATGTTCGGGAGCGAGTCGCCCTGTGCAGTCTGGGGATGGTGGCGACCATGTCGTTGCTGGGGTTGCTCATGCTCCCTTAGTTGCTCCTCTATGGTCACGGCATGCGGAGTTGGCTATTTGGATGCGGACTGCATATGGACAGGTTGTGTGCTGGCAGCGGAACCTTTTTATGACCCCCTCGGGTTCCACTGGCAAGCGTTTCGTTAACATTATCGCGGACTTCATAAACACTTTTGCATCTGGTGGTCCAGCTGCCTGTGTTGCTTGGGAGTGTGTGGCGGTTTCTAGTCACCTCTTGCTGCAGCGACCTGAGCCGCACAGCAGAAGC